TTGATGCATTGTTGTTATCATTATTCTGCTGATTATGATATAAGTTTGTTTGTGTGGCAAACAAATTAAATAAATCATCCCCAATGAACAATTCCACAGTTGATAATATATCCGGCATGTATGGTACCTGTAACCCAAACCGTTCCAGGCAAGCATTAGGTTTAAAATCAACTTCTGACCAATCATTTGCCACAGAATTCTCTTCATCACTTTCAGATTCACTAATTATTGGTCTTCCTTTATTTTTACAATTATATCGCTCCCACTGTCTGAATCACTTTCACTATCAATTATCCTCTTCTGATAGCAGATCAGCATATATTTTCTCATCGAAGAGCATTTTGAAGGACATCTTTAAATCTAACGTAAGTTTCCGATATTTGAAGGCAGCGAAAGACAGTCTCAAACTAACAAAACAAACGTCCACGAAAAAAGATTTCGATAATAGACAGTCTGGTGAATTGGGAGAGGAAAACAGTTGAAACCAATGTTTCCTGATCGTCAAATGTTTTGCTACAGTATGTCTATCTATACAAACGTCGATGTGAAGCATCGTCGTTGGTGAAAATAAGTCACGCGTACGTGACAGCGGCTGATAACTGTCGGCGAGCAAAAGTCACGCCAGCGTGACAGCGGCCCACAAAGTGTTAATCTCCCTTTCTTTTCTTTAAAAGCAGAACTATTATATGTACAAATTTAAGATAAAATATTTCCATGTAGATTTTTACTAATTCATAATCAAGATGTAAGAATCTTAAATCCCCCCACACCAAATAAGATTACACTGATATTTATTCTTATAGGAAGGCTTAACTATAGAAGAAATTATAATTTTTCTCAGTAATCAGTTCATTTTCGATGCGAGTACTCCAGAAATACAAATAAAATTGATTTAATGATTTATTAATTCTACTAACATTTGTATTAAATAAAAATATTTTGGCCTGACACCGTCTACCTGTCCAATTTTGCAGTTATTGTCATTTTCAACATTGTTTGGAGATTGCAAACCATAATCAAATCTATCCATGGCAAAGGAAATTCCAGGTTCCTTAATTGTTTTTGGCAAATTCAATTCCAATGTGTCCACAATTCATTCATCATTTACAAACTTGGCCATTGTATTTTACTCCCAGGCATCCACTCTTTGTGAAATCGGAATTCTCTCTTTATCAGGTTTATTAACTGACATATCAAAAGAATCATAGCCACATCCATTTATGCTTTCTGGAATTTTTTCTCCTCTTCTTCACTAAGATGGTTTAAATCTTATATCTAAAGTTTTAAATCTAACATTTCCTTGGACAGGGTTCGTACACATTTCTGCACACAGAAATTCAGTACTTTTAAGGACCATTAATGAAAAAAAGTAAGGAAAAATGGAAGCTGAATAAATTCAGTTAAAGATATTATCTATGCCTGAAATTCACTTTTATAATGCCATCCTAAGAATAAAATAGATCTGCAAGTAGGATGCATTATTATTAAACATAATTATAAAACAAAACTGAACATAAAATCAAATTTATCAAGTAGCATTGAATATTTTACACTTACAATAGTTGGACATATTTGAAAGAAGATTAGTGACATTTTATTTTATGTTTTACTAACAGTTAGCTTCATACTGATTTTTTTCTTTTGTCTCAGTTTGTCACATACTTCTTCAGCCTAGAGGTTTAGTAAATAGGTAGATTTTATGACTAACGGCATAGGTTAAAATGAGAAATAAAATTATAATCAGCTGATTTGTAACAGCAGCCTGGCTGTTGCCACCACGGCTGCTTCCCTAGAGACCTGCTGATCAGATCAAACCTGAAAGCCTGATGTACGTATGCTTTGCAAGGTTAGTAATGCTCTGTCTGCCTGATGCAGATAGTGCCGTAGCTTCGTGTAGAGCTTCTGGGGTTGTAATCCAGTTAATACAATTTAAGGTACCAATAAGCCACTAAGCACCAGAGGTGACAAGTTGTTTTGTATTATTTTAAGTCTCACTAGATGCAAAGAATAAATTTTAGATAATTTTTTCATTCTTGTGCTGTGTCTTATAATCATGGTAAGGATTAATGAAAGGCAATAAATCACTTTGATATGCGGAGATCATTTTAAGGCTGAGAAGGTATTACAAATAATTAAGCTAGGTAGTTAGATGCTTTTAGTTATTATAAATTTACATGGCCACTATAATTTTAAAATGTTTGTTAAAAAAGCACCATTAAAATAACAATCTAATAACATTTCACAGTTTAAAATGCAAGTAATTTATGACTTTGATTCTTAAACAATATTAGGACCATTACACAACAAAATACTTATGCATCTTCTTAATTTGAAGCCTTCCCAGACATTTTAGCTGATTTATAACAATTTCCTTCTCTCTAAGCACATTTTCTAACAATCAGAAATTGGTTTCAATATGAAAAACAATGTTCCCACTAGTTTCTGCGTACTTTATCTCCTAACTTGTCAATCTTTCGACAATGTACCTATGAGGTTTCGCATGAGCTGGTGAAAGTTAAATAGTCCAAAACCTCTGACAGACATGAAGCAAATTACCGCTATGTTTGAAAGTAACTATGAAGTCAGACAAAGGTTTAAATAAACCTCTTATTTTTTTTAAAAAAATTAGTACATAAAGACACGTTCTTATGCTAACAAAATAAACTACCTATCGTGGTGATGTAGTTAAACAGAAACCATCAAATTCAGATTAAATGTAGACTAGTGGTCAATTTAATTTTAAGCTAAGCTAGCTCATTAACTCTTTCATCATAACAAATTCAAACGCAACGATAACGCAAAGATAAATAATTGCAAATTATCAGAGCTGGCAGGAACTAATGCAGCGTGCACGCCAAAACCAGAAACACACTCTGTTTTACAATCCAAAAACCTCAGTTTAGAAATTATCTGATTTTGCATTCTGGCGAGGAAAAGGGACGTTATAATAAAGACAAATTATTAACAACTGGCTAATTTATATAATAATAACTGTACATATCTTTGAAAAATAATCTTCTTTCTCTTTATATGTTCAATTTCTTTCTTCAATACATTTCCTCTTCATTTTAGAATTTTTGGATTTAATTTATAAGGTATTTCTCCCGCCTTATTAGCGTGCCTTCGTGGTGAAGTGGTCTGCAGGCTGGGCGCGTTTTCCAGAGGTCTGTGGTTCGATTCCCAGCGAAGGTGTTGCTCATTTTTCACATTTTTCATGCTTCCAAAAATCCTAATTTCTATACAAATTAAAGATTTCTGCTGTGCTAAAAACTAAATGAAGAGGAAAAAATGCTAATTTTATTTCTTTAGTAATACGAACATTCAGAATAAATATGAAATGATACATGGTAAGGCCAAGTTATCGAGCCAACGTGGCCGAAATTTTAGAATTTAGTGACCCACTGAGGAAAAATATCTAGAAGCACAACTTTTAGAATTTAGGATAGGCACAGAGTGCAAAATATAAGAAGGCACTAGGTAGCAGAGCTTAGTATACATAGAGATTGCATCAGGCAGGAAAATGCCTTGAGCCAGCCCTGTGTATGATGAGTTGAGACATATAAGACAAATCTTTTAAATTGTCAGTTTTCAATTTCTAAATTAATAGAAAAATTCAATTCTGTAAATGCCTGTCCATGTGATAAGATTACAAGCATTTCTGATATTTTCCACTCATTTGTCTATGAAAAGAAGAGCAAACAGAGGAAAGAAGAACATGTTAAAAAAAGACTTCTAGTATCAGAAGTAAAACATTCAAATATTACGTTTCCATTGTTCTTCCAAAAACTCTCTAACAAGTAAGAAATTTACCACAAACTTTCTGTAAAATACACCCATCACGTGTTAATACCACGAAGACCATTTTGTCACATTTTCCTCGAATATACTAGAATCTTGGGTCTATAAATCTTGCTTTCATATCCTTCTAAACTTTCCAAGCAGCAATGCCTAAACTCCTAAAGAAAAATTACCTCTACCAATCCTGTAACAGCAAAATGGCAGAAATATTTTGAGGGGACGGAGAGGAAAAATGTGTAAAATCATTTTATATATAAAAATAATGCATACTCTGAGATAGCTGCATGGGGAAAAACTCTAACCATGAAAAAATTAAAAAGATTTCAATTAATTATATAGCTATTTTGCTTTTGCTAAGAATTATTTCGTAAATTGCACTTTGTTACCTTGTTTATTTTTCAGATTCACAATATTGCATAATTCACCAAGATGGAAAGAAATATCACTTTATAATATTGCAGCGAAGAATTAAAATGTTTCATTTTAATGTTATTTCTTGAATATAATTTCAATATGTTATAATTTTTTTAATGATTTCAATGTTAAAAAAAAAATTGTCAAAAAATTCCCAGATTTCCGAAATTTTTTTTTTTTTATAGAAACTGATCTTAAAATCGCCAAAATGTTAATACGTCGCCAAATTTAGAACTGTTTAATAAAAGAATTTACATCACCAAAAGCCAAACGTTTTTTAAGAGCTATTTATTAGAAAACAATGAAATAAATTCAAAATGCTTATGTTTCACTTTTTGCCCAGAATCTCGAGTATCCCAACGTTTGTATTAGAAATAGGAACAAATTATAACTCATTAACCCATTTAAAAAGATAACCATATTTATCAGTGAATCGCCAAAAATATTCCTCCAAAATGCTAATTCACACTTAAAATGGCAGCCGTAAAGACAGGCAGAAATTTCAGATGATTAAAATTAAGGACCTTCTGCTGATTTTGGCAGAAATTAAGGACTTTTAAGGACCAAAATTCGATTCCAAAAAACCTAAGGACTGTACGAACCCTGTTTGATCTTTCTGGTCTAATCTTATATTTTCCTAAAAATATAAGCATATCAATCTCATCTAAATGAAATTGAAATCGTAAATGGTAGCAAAAAGCACATATGGAAATAGCCATAATATTTAATGAAAAATATAAAATGATTTTACTTTAAAAAATACAAATCACAAAAAATTAACTATTTTACTGCATATATTTCCTTTCAGAAATTTATACCAAATTTTAAATTATAAATGCAATGATATTCTTACTTGATTTCTAAAAATTAAATAATACTTTATGGAATCAGCCTTCAAAACAGGAAACTCATCAACTATTTAAAAAAAATAATTAAGATTTCATTATTAAATAAGCAAATATATTTAGTATTTATACACAATTAAATATACATGATTGCCATTTTTATTAATCTACATATTTATTTAAACCTATTTTATATTTCAACAGACACATTTAATTCAAGATTACTATAAAAATTTTTCAATTTAAAGGTAGTAGAAATTGAGTTGAGAAGGGTTGTTGTTTGAATCTGTATATTAGTACTTCAAAATGCTCTAACTTTAAAACTACTTGTCAGAATGACTTAAATTAAATTTTAGAATGACTTTTAGAATGACTTAGATTAAATGATTAAATTTTTTTAATTAAATTCAATTTATTCTTATGAAACAATGTGTCAGAATGACTTGATATTTTACTAGAACAATTGAGAGGCAATGGAATTTTGTTTGGTGAAGGAACTGTTGGTATGTAAATTACTAAGACATAACATGCGCACTGCAGACATGGCTCAGATAAAAATGCAGGGCACTAAAGACACATAACATTTTGTCTGAGTGCTTCATAGTGACTCTGATGAAGAAGGATCATACTCTTCTCGTGAAGCTTTCCTGTCAGAATGGTGACTGTGCGTTAACAGCTACCAGGAAGTTCTGGACATTAAAAGGCATAAAATCTGGCCCAATGACAACACATGGCCTGTGGGAAAAGATAGATAAATTAAATCCTGCTGACATGGAAACATGTGAATCATTTACACTACAATTTCCTGCCCGGACTGAAGTGGAAAATGAATGGCCTTGGAAAATTCTGTGGTCTGTCGAAGCTCATTTCCTTTTGCAATATTTTATAAATACGCAAAATTGCATGATATGGGCGACTGAGAATCTGTTCCTGCTACAGCCATTACCTCTTCACTCTGAAAAGGTCACTGTGTAGTGCGGAAGAATAGCAGCGTTTGTCATCGGTCCGATCTTCTTTGAGGAGATCCCATTACCTGTGCAGTTACCAGCAAGTGGTATGAAACATTTTTGTGTAACCATGTCCTTCAGGCATTTCAGCAACATCAATGTGTGGATCGCACTATATTCATACAAGATGGCGCTCCTTCAAACACTGCTACTTGTGTTAAGCTGCTGCTGATTGCTCATTTAGGAATTGATAGAATCATAAGCCACCATTTTCCAACAATGTGGCTCTCCCAACTTAAACCCGTGTGACTTTTGATTTTGAGGATATCAGAAAAATGTTGTTCACAGAGGGCAGATTGCAAATCTGGCCCACTTCAACGCAAGCATCATGCACCACATTCATAGCATCAGCACAGATACACTCCGATCTGTTGTGGAACAGGCAGTTTAGTGCTCCCAATTAGCAGCAGAACAAGGACATCATATCAAACAATTTATACATTAAATCATCTGTAAGGTGCTTGTTTCATGAAGCTTCTCTTGTCACTATCGCTGTTTTCTCTGTAAATACGTATTCTTGCCTTTTTACTAATAAAATTGCTGTAAGCCCTTGGAGTCGATTGTTTCCTTTTGGATATACATCCACAACAGCAATGTGAACACAGACAGTGCCATCTACTGACAAATTCTGGAACTATTTTTCTTCCCTTCGCCAAGCAAAATTCCATTACCTCAGGATTGTTCTGGTAAAATATCAAGTTATTCTGACCTGTAGTTTTAAAGTTAGAGCATTTTGGAATTGCAACTTTAATTATAATCACCCTCTACTTGGAAGTGAAAAATACTTTGCTTAATTATAAAAATGAAAAAATAATAATAATTCAGAAACTAAAGATCAAGTATCTGTATAATATATTTGACACTTGTTATTGACTGCTCATTATAAGGACAATTCAATTCCAACAAAACCAATGTAAAACCCCTAATTGATGACAATATATGAAATCTACAGTTATTACAATGACCATTTTTGAAGGATATAAGAGTTTGTTATAATGAGTATATATTGCCTAAAATTGTGAAATTTACAATAATTATGTTTGCTTTTTATTAAAATAGTTATATAACAGCTGCATGAGAATTTTATATCCAAAACAGTTAAAAAACACAGAAAAAAATCAGTTTTGATACGAAAATTTAAAACACATAAAAAACAGATTTACTTAAAAGCATAAAAGACATTATTAACAGATAACAAACGTTTCGCATGTATTATTCTCATTTTATCAGGCAGCATGATTCAAAAATACAGTAGCTTAAAAAAGGAGAATATATTTTTAAAAAAATAGAATGAAGTTATTTTGAGGGGGCGGGGGTGAAAGACAACTGAAGTTTAAAATAAAATTGAATAATAAATAAAAAAATTAAAAAATCACACAAATTACAGAAAAGGGGGGAAAATTATCAATCAATTCCTTTAATGTAGATTCTGATAGAATACCTTTTATGGACTGACATGCCAAAAAACGTTTTGCCCTCTTTCACAACTGCTCTCACAGACTGAAAACACATAGTGTATAAGTCTACACATTTGTTTACATGCATAAATTTAATTGTAAAATTAGGTATTTATCAACTGCTTTCCTCTCTCACTCTCAAAATGGAAAGAGGCTTTGGAAACTTCTAAAGAATTATATCTTAGATCACAGACAGAAAAGGCAAAAAGGGAGGCTTGTGTCATTACACAAGGCAGAATAACTTATTGGAAAATATAGTTATTTACTATGATTCTGATGGCAGGAAATGCTTCAGCTTTAAAGGTGGGAAGACCTTTAGCAATTAAAAGCCTATGAATATATTTTTTAATAAAAAATAAAAAAACCTTTATTTTAATAAATGGAAAAGGATAAAAACCATTATTTTAAAAGAAGGAATAAATTTGTATCTCATAAGATTTAATCTAATCTACAACTATCTTCAATTTTAGTAGTTTGTATCTGATAAGCTTTTTAATCTAATCTACAACTAAATTTCAACTATTCATACAAATTTTTAATTGTGGAATGGCAAGATTCTTACAGAGTATATTTGATTTTAAAGAATTTTTTTAAAAAAAATCATAAGTATGATTACAGTATGAATTATAGCTTTATGTTATTGCATTAAAAGTACTACTATAATTATAAAACAAAACATAATACCATATACAGCACTTTTCTTCATGAAAATAAACTTACTTTTTGGTGACTGAAGAGTTGGCAAAATATGAATATTAAAAAATTCACAAGTATTCACTAATTCATTAGTCTGAGTAATGCCATGCTGAAAATGAAAAAGGGAAAATAAAATTCAAGCTAAAGTTTAAATACCTTGCGAATTTTTGATTTACAGCATTTCTGAAATTAACAGAAATAATTCATATATGTATACATAAGCTATACATACCCTTGCAGTCTGTCCTTTTGCAGTCATGGATGTAACTAAATAAATGGCGGCATCTTTACTTTTCCAATGAGTATTAGGATCCTTAATGTAGTTCTGGAAAGGAAGGATATTTAAACATAATGTATATGAAAAGTATTAAATTTTAAGAATAATAAAATTTCAGCTCACTGGAAAAGAATTTTCAGCAATTTTCACTTTTTATATTAAAAATATACCAAAGGATTTTCACAAACAATAAAAAAGCCAATCATTATTTTATGTTATAAAAGTTTAAATAACATACCATGACTTAATTTTTAAGATATCTGAATGGGCAAATATTCTCTGAAGACAAAGTGCCAATGTGAAAGCATGAATAATTCGCAGATATAATAATAATAATAAAAATCTGTAATCATTTAAATGCATAACTTAAAAATATGTCGCTTATAAGAGTGGCCACAAACTTAAATTGCATACAGATCGACTGCATGATCTCAAAGCAACTGACAGAATAGACTTTTTTTTTTTTTTTTTTTTTTTTAAACAAAGTGAATGTAGTAGCACTTAGCCTTGAAGTATGGATAACACCCCTTTATAATCTTATGTTACATGTAATGCCATGTGTGTGGTGTTCTGCGTGTATGTTTATAATACATGTTTTTTACTTTTAAAAGTTAATGTTTCTAGAACACAGTTTAATTCAAAATTTATTCCAGTAATGTTCAGTTGCATTTTATACTGTATTTTTCACTACACTTTCTTTGTATTTTCCAAGCTTATGCATTTTTCTTTCTTAGTTAAAATGATGAGACTTTTTCTTTTCTGTTTTCTTTAGAAGTCCAATCACTTAATAAACTAACTACTAAAACTTTCCAAGTGGAATAAAACTTAAGAATAAATAATGACAATCTATTCTCTTTTAGTTATTAAATCTTTTCAATACATACAGAAAAAATATATATTTTGAAATAATTACAAACTTCTTTATTTGTTATTACAGCTTGACATTTGATGGCATTTTCCCTTTAAAACGTTTGTAGCCTTGAAGAAAAATTATTAGAAATTATCTTCATGACAGATTGTGTCAAGTTCTTTTCTTGGACTTATTAATTTTCACCCGAGAAAAACTGTTCTCTTATAAATGTACTCCCAAATGAAGTGATTATTCTAATTTAAAGAATTTATATTTGAGGGCATTTATCATATGGCAAGTATGAACAAAATTTAGTCAAATCTGTTTTTTCAAATATTTGAATAAGATTTGTATCACAATGTAAAACAATTATCTTCAGTCGTACAATTTCTAATGCACTATTTGTTTTTAAGGATAGTGAAAATAATATAAAATCAGACTCCAAATATTAAAACTCGTATATTTTTCTTCAAATTTTTGTCATAACAATGTTGTTTTCTATGCATATGCTTGAGAGTTTTCATTTGAAATAATGAGGCAGAATTTAAAATATAGGATTTGTTTAAATCCATTTATGCTTCCCATAACAGCAATTTAAAGCTTTAATACAAGTATACATGTTTGTGTTCCTTGGAGCTCTTTACTGAGAACATTTACATGGGCAGTTAAATGCACAAGAATGCTGTTATCCATGAATAATTATGCAGCTTGTTGACATAATTTTATTTATTAATCTTGTGTGTCCATATTATAAATACTTTGGATTTCATTTATTGAATGAAAAAAAGTGTTTGAATACAATTGTTCAACTTTATCTACCTCTTCTCATTGCTCATTTTCTATTTCTTTAAGGAATGTAGTAAATTGCGAATGATTTAGAACAAAGTCACAAATAAAGTTTACTGTTTTTATAACACTATCCATCAGCAAATCTTGCCATAATGGGCTTCTTATATGATGCAAAAATTATTCTGAAATTTCTCTTCTTTCACTGTATTTCTCAGTTTTAAAGCTAATCTTTTTCCTTCATTTTTAGTATCACTTTCAAATCCAACAGTTTTATCCTAAACTAGCAGCTTCGTTCCCAGCCTTTGTCTGGCTTTTAAATGTAACGGAAAAATGGCTGAAGGGAACACCAAACGTTAAATTTAAAAACTGCGTAGAAATTTATTCTTCAGAACAACTTCATAAAAAAAGTTATTACGTATAACAAAATTACAACGAAATAAGCAATATCCCTTAATACAAATATTAATTATCCTAATAAATAAATGTCCAAAAATCAAAGAAAAATAAACTGTACAAAAAAAAAAAAAAAAAAAAAAAAACTTAGAAAAATTCTCGTTGAAAAGGTGTTAAACTCCCTTTGTTAAATAAATTCGTATTTAATCGATTTATTGAAACACGAAATTTATTTTAAGTTTGTAAAATAGCTAAGTGCCTATGTTTCATGACGATGTGAAAATGGAACGTGTAGAGTAAAATCTCGCTTTCCTATAGTGAATTTTGTCTCAAAATGACGCGATTTCATAACAAAACATAAAATTTAAAAAATTCGAATTCAAATTTCGAAAAAATCGCTTCGAGGTGCACTGGCTCTTGTCTAGATGCACCTATGTACCAAATTTCGTAGCTGGGGGTCTATTAGCTTACGCTCAGCGCGAACGAAAGACACACACACACAGATAGACAGACTCTCTCTTTTATTATATGTAGAGATTAATTTATGTTTATCTATTACATTTTGTATCCCCCCAAAAAAATATTCCATGCACCAGTTTTCCCTTTCACATATAAATTACTTCCAATGATTAATCAATTATTTCAAATTCATTTCACTGATACAAAAACGGCAAGTCATGCTACATTTGTGATTTCAGTACCCTCACCGTTATTAAAAATGCAGGGAAATTTATACTTTTTTCTTTTAGCTAATATTGTAAATCACTAGCAGTCTCATTAATATGTTCCACTACTGTATCAGTTGACAAACTAATATTTTTAATTATTTCTTATCAGGATACGAATGTTCAGTAAAATTAATCAAATGATCTTTAAAGAATTTTTAATCAATAAATATTTTTGATTGTTTAGTAATGATGGTGTATGAGAGCGAAATTTGCGTGAACTGTTGCTTCACTGGATTTATCTGCTTCAGTAAAAAAAAAAAAAAAAAAAAAAAAAAAACTTACTGTCAATGCATGCCAGATTTCAGAAACTAACTTTTCTTCCAAAAATTAACCTTCCCAAATTTCAAATTTTGCTTTGATCCATTTTGAAATAGCAAAGTAAACTGCATTCTTTTGAAACTGATATTCCCTTACAAGAAAGAGAGAGAAAAAGAAGAGAGATTTTTTCACTGCACACCCTAAATGTGTATAGTTTCCCCATTTTCCTTGAAAAACATGTCCTTTTTCAGCCATTTTTCTTTCACCTTTTGCTATAGACATGGCTTACAGATTTACCTCTTAATTAAAATCACTTTTAAAATTTTATTTACTACTGTAATTCCACAAGATGAATCTTCATATGAAAACAACATTCAAAAGTTATGCACAATTCTAAACTAAGTATTGATATAATGTAGATGCAATGTAACAATTACAAATAGACAAGTTCTATAAGGTAGTTTGGTTTTCCTCATTACATAGCAATATGGACTGCACAGCTGTGAGTCCTGCGAACTGAAGGACAGCATATCAAAAGTACCAACTCAAGGGGGGGGGAATGACACAATACTGCAACACCACCAACTGCGACTGGCGAACTAAATTTACTGTCTGTACTTGCAATGGAAGTTCTACACCTTAACCGTAATTATATCATCTGGCTTACATCTGGCTTTTCCTTCTCTAGCAATTCTCCTTTTCCTTCTCTTGTGAATAAGCTTAGTCTATATCTCTATGTCTTTAAAATTATAAGAACCATATTTGCAACAAAGGCATAATTGAAATATGGTCACAGGCCCTATAACAGGCTACGAAAAAACTTGTATAAAGGAAATAAAACTTGTATGTGCTTCACTTAATACAGCAAAAACGAAACCCTGTTTCCTACAAAATAACATAAAATAATTGAGCAAATTTAAATGTGAATAAATTTAAAATGTAAGAGAAAATAAAAACTAGATAAAATTTTAGTAAACAAATTTACCATAGCTTGTATTTTGCCAGTTTTTGAATTTTGTTAGAAAAGTGTTAAGTTTTGAATCAGTTGTTTTACAAAACTATAACTTTTTTAAAAGCACATATATGTGATTATTCATTTGATCATTGAAGCATTTTTTAATATAATGCAATACCGCCAATTATTATTATTATTGTTTTATTACAGATATATGAATTGCTCCTAATTAGGAGATGTTAATTTTTTTTTTTTTTTGAAAAGCTAGGGATTCATACATGCCAGAGGAATACTGAAAATCCTTTCACAATAGCAAAAATGGCATAGCATAGTTACTAGTAACATCAAATAATATTACATATTCAATAAGAAAGTCTTCCAGTCATTTCTGTGACAACGCTTTTTGAAGAAAAATGATCACAAAACACAAAAAGCAACAAATCACTAAATTGTGACTCATCATTAATCGTTGCTTAGTTAATCAATTATAATAAAATACATGAGAATTATCAGCCGTAGGAAAGATGTCAACATGAAGGACTTTCTAAAGAAAAAAAGCTGGCATTCACATAAACATTGGGAAAACATTAAGCAGCCAGCTCATTCACATAGTAATGAACTCAGGATTAACTATCAGCATTCAATAGCCTCGACTACTGTTAGGTTGTCTAAGTGGATGAAAAGGTTGCAAAATAAATGCATGTGGATAAGCAATCACACAGATGTAACAGCTATGCTAACAGGCTTCAGCAGTACACTAAATGAACATGATTTTCATTCCTGTACAATTTTCAACAAAACGATATCACAAATTTTTCCCTATGCACAGTAGTTACTAGTTAGAGCTCGTAAGGTAATTGTAATTTACAACAGTAAAGAATGAATCACCACGAAGCATATATCATAAACAGGATGACAATTTCTTACCACTTCATGAGCATGGTTAGTACCAGAATTTGAAAGAGATACCAGCTAGTCAATTTCAGAAACTAACAACCTTGCAATACAGATGGTTTTCTTGTTTGCAAACAAATCTCCTAAGAAATAGTTTTTTTTCCTCCTCCCCTCAAATTGTCTGACAAAATATCATAGCCCAACATATATAATGAAAAATTTCACCTTCCTTAGCTTTTCCCATGGCTGAAATTTTTATGATGCTTCTACTACTCATTCTCCCTCTTTCGGAAAAAAAAAACTTCACTAACAAGTCTGTGTCATAAAATTAACATTCCGGTAAAACCTAATTGAAGCACCCAGCTATTCAAATGAATTGACTAACAAAGCCTACTAATTCTATAAAGATTCAGCTCGGTACTTACATACTATGATAACTACCTCAGCAACATTTGCCGATAAAAAAACTTCATTGGCATTTTATGGTTTATGTTTCTAAATTCTTTTAAAAATAAAAGCTCTAATTATAAAGGAACAAAAACTTAGAAACCAAAAATCTCGTATATATATATATATATATTTGCACAGAAGAGGAAAGTTAAAATATTCTAATGCTTTAAATTTATTTTAAAATCTGCAGCTCAATGTGCAAATTTTTTGACCAAATAGGTCTCTCTTTTTAGTTTACTAATTTCTACTTATAATATATACACACACATATATTATAAATAAATATATATATTATTATAAACTATATAATAAATATGAATTAAAAAATTAAAATTAACTTACTTAAAACTGGTTAAAAGGATTAGGATTATTCAATTATGGCACAGCACACGAGGGATATCTGCCTAAAGTAAAACTGGTTAAAAGAAAATGTTGAAGTTAATGGTAAGGAAAGTGGCAGGATATAGCTTTTAAAATAGAATCGAAAGGCGTTTTCTGTTTTTTTCCGCCAAATAGGTATCCAAATGATGGCGGCTTGTCCCACATTGTCGTTTGTTCCTCCATTTTGTGGAAGAATTAATACTGAATATACTGAGGAAATTAATGCTAAAATTTTATATTATCTGTTTTCTCTCAAAATTTGATCTTTATTTTCTTTCTTTGGATTTTTAAAATACTAACTATTTTTAATGTGTTTAAGTTTTGTTTGCACCAATAGTACATTTTAGTTTTAATTATAGCTGCCCAACCGGTATGGTGGTTAGCGTCACTGACTGCCGTGCCGAAGTACTTGGGTTCGAATCCCTCTATAACCTATGTTAGGTTATAGAGGGATATAACCCACAAGGGTTGCCAGTTGTGGCAAGTTATCTAGGTAGTCATCATAGTATGTAAGTACCTTAGGCTCTTTTTAAAAAGTTCTGCCTATCTTCAAAACAAAAATCATGTTTCTGTTCTCTTATTAACAAAATTCTGACAATATTTAGGGCACAGACCACATTTCGGAGTGATAAATCCCCCCTTTTCCCTAAAACTTACATTTTCAACAATTTTTGCTCACCCTGTAGGTTTAAAAATAACATAATAAAGAAAAGCAATTTTTATCAACAATAAACCAAGCACTAAGCATGTTCTAATCCAATAATCATATTAAAAAAATTAAAAAGTTACAGTAAAATACTTCATTTCGAACATTAATTAAATAAAAATTAGAACACATAAATTAATAACTATTAGCAATTATTACACCTATCACACATATTACAGTTTTCCTCTTTGAATCATCATTTAAAATGTTCTTTTATATCCATGTTTTGCTTTCTTTAATTCACAATGTAGCAGATGTTATAGGCATAAACTATTTTCAAAACTGAACAGATATATTAAATTTGTATTGGAAACAAGAATATAACCTACAGTAAAAAAAAAACACACTGATAAAAAACGAAATCCCAAGAAAGAGATGTGCTAGATACATGAAATTTGGGAAGCATGCTTATACATCTAAAAGGTAATGTCTATTCAAATTTCAAAATAAATGAATAAACATGACATAAATAGCTATAAACATGCAAATCCCATTTATGATGCAACCTTCATTTATTTTCTTTATCTTTCGGATTGAGAATTGCCAGTTAAATTTGAATCAAGGATGCCTTTAAAGAGACGAAGAAAAGAGTCTCAACAGCTTACCGAGTTTGAAAGAAGCCGTGTATTGAGGTAATCAGAAGATTCATTTCGGCAGCAATGGTTGTAAGGAAGGCACTCTATCAAGAGGGCCAGGTTCCAGTTGCACATGTGCCGCCACTCAAAGAGAAGACCACCATATTCGCCGCAGTATATCTATGGCACTTCACACTGCATCTACAACACACATTCAAGCTTTTGTTGACTCCACAGTAACATGGCAAACTTTAACAAATCGATTACTTGAGGGACAGCTGCAAGCCAAATGCCCTGTAGTGGCCATAGCACTAAGTTCAAATCACTTTCATCTGCGACTTTGCTGGAGTGAATGAAGCAGAGCAGAGTGAAGCTATGTTATGTTCTCAGATGACAGCCATTTCTGTTTTGTTGCCAATGACAGTTGTACGTTCATTAGAAAAAGGCTGAGTGAGTGCTTGGAACCAAGCTAGTCATACTGGACCTACACCACGAGTTAAGGTATGGGAAGCAATTTCCTACGACAGCCGGAACATTTTCATCGTTATCCCATTAACCTGCACAGCAAATCTGCATGTAAGAGTGCTCACTGCACCAGTTGTATTGCCAGTCCTGAGCAATATTCCAGAGGGCATTTTCCAACATGATAATGCTTATTTCCATACCACTACTATCACCCAACACACTCTACAGTGCGTCGACATGATGTCTAAGCCTGAGAGATCACCTGATTTTTATCCCATGCAGCATATACGGGAGATAATTAGATGACAAATCAGTATCACACAGTAATGGCAACTACAATGGTTATTAATGTACTACCATTTCACATTTGAAATGGCTCTTCTTGTGCACACTTTACCCTGTAAACATGAAATATTAATCAAAGAAATATGTTACCTAGACAAATGCTTTGCTTACATTTCCCTAAATCAATTTCTTCTGGGTGCTGGCATTTCTGTTTCTATCAGTATATATATATGTCAAAATGAACTTTTTATGGAACAAACTCAGTGATTCAGATCAATAAGCAGAAATTATAAAAAGATATCCATCTCTAATAAATTAATACAAAATAGGCTTATATAAATACTCTTTTATTCTTTAGTCATAACAACAAACATGCATATGGTTAACTCCTTTTATAATTTGAATAAAGATTAAATAAGTTGTAACATACCACTATAATATATAAAACATCATTTTATATAGACTATAACTATTAAAAGCTTACTTGTAGCATAGCATTCACATAAGCTGAAAATACACTGGTAATTTTGGCTTCAAAATGTTTAGCAAGTGCTTTAACCAAATCACAAGCTGCTCTTCTTCGAGTATCAACGTCTAAAAAATATACATGTATACTTTAATGCAATTAATGAAATAAAAGATTTTCACAATCCTATTTGACAACACTCAGTAAAATAATTTCTCACTTATTCCCTTAATATCATCAAATCCACCACCACTAGAATAGCAGTAAAAATACACCACATGAAAAATTTGGAGTTTTTAGGAGGTTTTTGCACTATACGTGGAACCATTTTAAAAGAATTCAAAATTTATTTATAACTCATGATTCAGTTTATTCAAATATTTATAATATGATTCTGAAGTAAAAATAAACTAACATTTAATTATATATTCTAAATTTTATTTTTTGGCTAATTAAATTTTGTAATTTTCTTACACTTTAATACTAAGAAAATCATGAAAGGAAAGCTTTAATTTATCAATGTACTTTTAAACACAGTAAAAATATATAATTAATATACATATTATTGTGTTGATCAGGAGTTTAATTTGGGTCAATTATGACCAAGAGGTCGATTGGATGTCGATAGCCAAATATGCACTAGCAACTGATCAGCAATATGAAGATCACATTGCTTATAAAAATGATTAATAAAACTGATGATTAATTGTTTAGTGATATAAAGCTACACTATACAATGTCTTATTCAAAACACATAAGAAAGCTAAGTTTGGGAATATAAAAGTCATCTCGGTGAACATTACTGACTTTTCTCTAAGCAGGCTTTAATAAAGCCAATAATTGATTACGGAAAGCAAGAAATAGGTTGAATATTTTTGAATGAGCATGTTTAAGAATTACATTCAGCAATTTTATGCCAAATATTTATAAAAAATTGCATCAATACATCAATCACATTCATTAAAATTAAGTTTTTAAGCATTTAAACTCTGTGATTTAATTTCCAATTTAAAAATTAATAACACATTACAAAGAATTTTTTTAAATGTAAAAACTTAACCATTTTTTCAAAATGTTTTGCCATATTCTTAGTCTAATTGTTATTTTTAAGTTATTTATGCAGAGTATAATATAAGAAAAATGCAGGAAGTCAATGAAGAAAAACATTTCTTTAAAGGGGGTCAATGCACGAAAAGGTTGGAAATCCTTGGTATAGATAAACTTAATATTGTACCATATATTTATGTAAAATAAAAAAAATTAAAATATTTTCTGATTAAATGTTTGGGCGATTGTTGTTAAAAAACACTTTCATTAGTAACCGGAAGCCTCCCGGTAAAATCGTGAGAGTTTGAAGCTACAAATACAACTTAAAAAGCGCCTTCTTTGACAAAGAAGTGATTAAATAATGCTCAGCTAACCAATACAGTAAATGGATCACACACTGTGATTCACAAATAGGAAATATTGGGAAAATTAGATTTAATAAAACACTTCAATAATAAGGCAACACAGATTTTTGAAAACAGGTTTTAGCAAACAGATATATAAATAATTAAAATGACAATTTTTTCCAATAATGACTGGTTAGAAACTAAAATTGGGGAAAAAAAAAAAAAAAGAATCATGAAAAATAAAATTAACGTGGAACACACATTTTCAAAAGATGTGTAATAGCAAAAGGCTCACCCATCCCAATAATAGCAATTTATTTATTTCATATAAAATGTTTTTAAATTTGAAATATTTCTTTTATTTATCTTTAAATTTAAGCAATATAACTATATTAATTGTAAACTACATTAATGACAAAAACCTATAATGACTTAACGGCAAAATAGAAAAAGTTAAATTAAACGTCTGAAGCGCCAGCTTTCCAAATTCAAATATCAGGATATTTCATTTAGAAATCAGGAGAAATTTTCAGTTCCCCCCACCATACAGATGGAAAAAAGAATTTGAGAGTTTTTGTATCACTAATTGTTAAATTTTGCTATAATACATACATATGGAATTCTTTACTGCAAAACTGCTTAAACTGAGAGGAAAAATTTAAATTGATTTTCTGTTAGTGAAGTAAAATGTGATACAGTGTTTTTAACGATATGGAATTATATTAATGAAATTGCAATGCAAAACGAGTTTAATATAATGCATTATAAAAGAGAACTGCGAACAAGTGTTCACCTGAAAAGGAATAGAGCTGAAAGTAACATAAATTAAAAAAACATATTAGTAAAAATTGCTAGCTTTTATAAAGAATTGTCATTCAAATCTGATCACCAGTTAAAATTTATGTCCATCTGTCACACACACAAAATCTCTTTAATTTTGAGACAATTTTTTGTTGTTACAAAGTTTCATTGTTTGAGTCTTGTAATTGCTATGCCAATAACTCCGCCGCATCATACAATGAATTGGAAGTTGATCTGTCAGCACTATCCTTATCTTCAGGGCAGATGTTTTTATTTATTGGCTTATAATTCCTTTTAATGTATATTCTCGATGTATCCGTCTTTGATATGATTTAATCAATTCCTCGTCATTATAATTCGCTTCTGATAACAAGAAAGTGGCAGAGGTTATTGAAAACGAAAAATTTCGATTGACAATTAGTCGGTATTCTCGACACAGCAATTATAGGACTTAAACAGCAGAACTTTGTAACTGAACAAGAATTAGTCTGTTTATAGAATTAAAGAGAATGTATTATCACATAAAAAACGAAGCAACTAACAACTTACACTGAAAGAAATGTTTAATAAAGTAAACAAATAAATATTAAGCTTTTTTTTTTTTGTAAATTTTGATACCCTTTAGATCATAATTGTTCTTTATTTCATAAATTACGGTTTCATATTTTTAATATTATAATTTCTGCATGCCATCTTACCAGATTTAAACTGATGATCTATAATCCGGAAAAATCGATAATCCGGAATCGCCGAAGTCCCGACTAAAGACTTTTGACTGTATTAGTTATGAAAACAAATCACACGTAGACACGTCTTCCTTGTATGATTTATTAAATTATACACATTTTTTGCTACACTCAATTTAAACATTTTCTTCAAATTATTCTAACTTAATTAAATGATTCCTCCAAAGCAAGTTGAAAATGACATTAAAAAGAACAAATTTTTAAATTAAATATCCCGGTTGGTATCCGAAGTCCCGACGAGTCCGGATTAACGACTTTTGACTGTATTCAAAAAAAAAAAAAAAAAAAAAAAAAAAAAACTTCAGGCATCACTATGTAAGTCAATTCTTAAGCTGCTACAAATCAATACAGGATTAAGTATGGTGATAGAACAAAAACAAAAAGATGAGATAAAGTAAAAAATAATTTTAAAAAAAAAATGATTCGCCAGTTTGGTACCAGGTATGCAAGTTATTCAGCAGAAGAAAAATCAATGATGAAAAATGATGTATTGTTTTGAGATGTATAAAAATAAAAAGATGAATACACAGCTAAGTTATTGATCATATTGACTTACAAAATAATAACAAAAAAGGGAGGGGCATATTTTCAAGTAAATATGATATTATATGAAAGTATTCATTAATGAAATCTTTCTATCTCAAAATATTCCTTTTATGGAGGCCATTCATTATCTGATAAACTTACAATCTTTCTGCTTATATTTGAATTTCATATTGAAAGATTTTTTTGGGCTCAAAAAATAACTCAAGAGTAATATATTATACATCAAATTACATATAAAAAAGGCTCTTATATTACTCACCAGAACCTTCAATATCACGTCTAATATATTCTTCAGGATTGTCTTCAAATAATTCTTCATCACTATCTAAAAGAACAATATATTTCATCATTTAGCTAAGCCTTTAAGAAAAAAAAACCTCATATTGAATTAGTAAACACATTGGTTAGGAAAAATTAACACAGAAACTATAAAAAGGTGCACTGTAAATTCCCTGAAGCCTAATAAAGGGTAATTGATTATTTGGTGTCTCAAGGTGAACATTATCACCTATTAATTGAATTCACCTTTGTAACACAGAAAAATATGCAAATTTTTGTGCTCACTCTTTAAATGCAAAGAGAAATACTTTAAATTCTAATTTCAAGGAATGTATGAACAGTTGCAAAAAATTTTTACATATAGATTGGTGGAACATGTTGATGAGAAGGCATCTGGTGGATTATGAGAAATCACATGCGACTGGATGAATGAAAGGAGAACAAAATCTGACAGAGATCTGTAAAAATCTGAAAGTAGCTAAAAGCATCATGTACAGAATCTGGAAACAATTAAAAGATACCAGTGATGCATATAGACAACCAGATTAAGATCAAAATCATTTTGCAACAGACTCTCGGGACCATTATATGGCAATGAACACTAAAAGAGACTACTAGTGTCAGCCCAGATTACATTAGAGTTTGCTACAATCAGAAGAATGCGACTATCCAGATATACTATGAATGACAGGCTGAATAAAACTGAAAGGACAAAACACATGTAATCAACCTGAAAACATCCATATGGACAGGCATCATTTTGAATGGCCACAAAGACTTACAAATCAAATAAACTATGAATGCTGAAACATATACAGATGAGGCTCTTGGTTCTTATGTCAAGGTATTTAGGAGATGTTACTGGTAAACAACTTCCTTCCAATCACACTCCATTAACAATTGATAATCTTGAGGGTGCAGGAACCTAGCAGATAAAGTAGCCCGCATATTCGCTGGATTTAAGTCAATGTCAGAGATTATCAGACACCTTATTAACATTTGATATGTATCTCTAAAAAATGAATGCCAACTTTTCCCTACCACATTTCATATCACATATATCATGCTTTTATTTAAAAAATTTTTTTTTTTTTTTTTGCAAAAATAGACAATTCTGCATTTTGAAGATGTTAAACATGATAAAATAAAGATACTATATGAGTTCCATGTTTTGGTACTTTTTAATTATAAAGTGTGATGCCAAAGAGGTTATGTGGCAACCCATGATGCAACCGAAAAGTGTTTAGGCAGCAACCGAGGTATATGCATAACATACATGAACTTCAATGGTAATTTTTCGGATCAGTTCTTCCATTTTGCATAGAATGCATCTGTTTTTCTTGATGAAAAAGTGTAGCATTTTCTGCAGAAATATGGCATTTTGCCCAACAATAAAGAATGTGAAAATTTACATTCTAGGAGGTTGCACTTTTTAAAAGGACAAATGTTACGGAAATGCAAGTTGAAAAATTGCAAGCAGCTTTACAAATGTGAGTCGGAAATTATTTTAAGATAGCCCTCTCTTATTTAAAACAGCTATTAACTTTATTTATTGCTGATCAATGTGCGACACAGAGACTGCATGATTTCGAATTTGTAAAATTATCTTTTTCTCCTAATCGAAAGCAGATTATAGAGTACATGAGGAGATGACAACAGTGAAAAATTTATCATAAAAGATAAGTGTTTTACTACCAATATTTTTTACCTTTTTAATTAGAGATAAGCAATCTTTAAATAAGTTTATTTTGAATTCAATGAAGTTAAAGAATACATGACATCATAGTTTGCTGGGGTACAGAACAGTGGAAAATTACAAAAAAGAATGTAGAATCCTATGATACATGAAAAGACCAGATGTTCATGTATCGCTGAAACTACATGTCATTCGTTTTTATTTCAATTTCCTTACCAACAATTGTGGTAATGTCAGCAATGAACATTAAGAAAACTTTCATCAGCAAACAGCAACAATGGAAGAAAGATACAAATAGAAATCAAGTTCCAAGAAATTCGCTGATATCTGCTGGAGCTTTACGAATGATGGGGAAACAAGTTAGCTACAAACAAGAGAACAAGCATGAAATCCTTAAGCATTCCTAGTATTTTGTTTGAACATTTATTAGTGCTTTGCTTCTGTCTGCTGCGTTTTCCTACACCAGAAAATCGCCTTAGTAAGAAAAATAATAATTTAAAAATTATCTTGTAACTTCTAGATAAGAGCCAATTTTTGAAAATAAAGTGCATTCACATTCAAGAGGTAAAATTTAGCTAGTTTTTTTTTTTTTTTTTTTTAGTTACCCTCAGAATATGAGCAAAACATTGTGTCAAAATATAAGATGAATTTGCTGTTAATTTCTAAACAAGAAGTGCATATTTATGTTCAGAAGAAATTTAATAAGCTTACTTTATCTCTAAAACAACCAAAAATCTGAAAAATTATAGAACAGTGTTACTGATTTTGATGGCAATAATAGAAAATTTTTTGCTCCGAAAGAAAAAAAAGCATATGTTCAAGCATCAATGTTCATCATAAGGCTGATATTAAAACACATTCTTAATACTTCATAGTATATCTAATGGAAAAATTTTTGTTCTACTCCTTTAGTATACTTTCATATGCATTCAAAATGCAATCAAAAGATGATGGTTAAATTTGCAAGTAACATTTCAAAAATATTTTCTATATTCATTTTAATGGCGATTTTAAATACAAGAAAATTTAATAAAATGTTTTTGAAATAATATACAATATTATTCAGACTAATTTTAAAGACAGAATTTTAACAGATATTACGAACAGAGAAGGGCTCATTTTAACAGGATTGCTTTCTTGAACACACCATAGATGCTGACATGTTTAAAAACAACTGCTAAATTTATTATCTTATCAGTCAACATCTACACATTAATTAGCATTTAAATACAAGTCTAGATGAATATTAAGCAGTTTTCAGGAAGTTTTATTTTGCAGTATTTTAATTTCTTAAACAAAATTTTCAGAAAATAAAAAGGAAATTAAAACAGTTCTTTTTTATTAGAACTATTACTATATAGTTACCTAATTAGAAATGTCACAAAACACTTATATATTCATATAATCCAATGATATGGATTACTTATAATGATTGTGGATAAATTCTGAAAACAAGTCTCTTTATTCGTAGGAAATATAAGGTACATAAGATTCTACTTTGGGCAAATAATCTTAAAGCAAGGCTTAAACTCTTTTTTTAAAACATTATTTGCATTCATTTGGCCTACAAATTATATATATATATATATATATTTAAAAAAATTATTTCAAAAGCTCAAAGAACAACTATTCTGCCTGCGGCTTTCTTTAAGACTAAAAATTTTAGCATGTTGTATACCATTATACTGTGTATGATAGTGATGTATCACATAACAGCATTCTGTTTAAAAACTGACACATACTCAAAAGGAAGGACATGCGAATTAATGTTTCCAACCTTATGTGCACTTGTAGCCTGAAATACTTCAAAAGATGACTTTCAAAAGTTAAAAAATCAATACGGATATCCTTTTCAGTTTGGTTATTTAAAACTTAATTGCTGAGTAGATAAAAATAAAACACCCTTGGAAAAATAGTATACAACAATTTACATCCGCCCCCTGAAAAAAACTTTCCCAGAAGAAATATTATGTTATGATTCTCTCCCTTGGTTACCAGAAAGAAAATAAAGCATATTTTCATGAAAAAAAAAAAATTTTTTTTCACACAGGAGTAGAAACCATTAGATCCATATAATGTTATAATAGGAATCTATTAATACAAAGTATAACAGCTATTTTAAATTTATGGAAATCATTCAGTCCTTACCTCTAAACTCCATATTTGGTATAATAACTTTTTCACATATTGAACTCAACACATCAGAGGCCTCAAACAAGTGCTTGTAATTAGAACGTTCAGCAACAGAAGACAAGAAATGAATGGCATTGCTCACAAGCTGTAAATTTAATACAGTTATGAGCAAATAAGATTATACAACTATTAGATAATTAATGAAGTACTAACCAAAAATATTTATTTAATGTCAGAAAATTTTTAGTGTTATAATAATTACCTTTTAAAATCAAACATCACATTATAGACAGATAAATAGAAAAATATTAAATACTCTGTCTTTACAAAAATATGGCAAATTAAAAAATTTCACAATAACAGTATTTTTTATGTCTTACATGTACTAAAGAAGTTTAAATTGTAAACTGATTTGTACAGTTTCTCTTTTGAATCAAAAATTAATATAACTGCTGTATATTTTCAAGTCCTATAATTTGAAAATGATTACAGAATTATTTTAAAACTCACCAAATCATATTTGATTTGCTGTCCAGTTGTTGTAAGCAAAGACCAAACAGCAGTAACAAAGTTAGGTAAATAATCAGCAAACTCCTCATCATATTTTTGTGCATATAATCCAATATTTTCGCAGATTTGAGATTTTAACTGTTCCAGCAGACCAGCATCTTCATCTTCCTGTATATTTTAATAATAATTTGAATTAAAGTTTTAAAAAATGAACATTCAACAACCAGAATAATACATAACTGTTTTATTTTCATTTTAAACAGTATTATAGATTCAATATATAATGCAATTAAAAAATGTTTAAGTTTGATCTCAATATAAGATAATGACATTTTGAACACATTATATGTAGCTTAGCTATTGTGTATCTTAATGTTATATTCATAGTCGCTGCACATCTGACAATAGAAACACTTCTTCAATAACACAGTTGACATACACAGTCAATTTATCAACTTAAGGCTACAGGCTACAGCAGGACTAAAGAAAAATAAAGGCTGAGTCATCCCTTTGATGGGAACGATACCGACATGAGCTCTGTTGGGGAGTAATGTGACATCACTGGGTTCCAAACCTCACCTACTGACCAGGGCTTCACAGTGGAAAAGTTACATCGTTACTTCTTATATTTTTGAAAGAGGTTTCTTTTACTTGAAAATTATAGCTGAAGATACTTTTAAAATGAATCGGTATTTATAAAGTGTGTGTAATGGGAAAATACTGAAAACAATGGGGCTCTGTGCTGCTGTTACCTGTTGTAATTCATATCATATTACATAAGAAAGAAACGTGATATTTCATCGATTTTCGTACAGAAACGCTCTGCAGACGAAAAAATTGGTTGCGTAAGTGTTGCAGAGCAAGCATACATTTTTCTTTCTTTCTTCTTAAAAAAAAAAAAAAAAAGTTTAGTTTTCTTACTAAGATGGCTTTAGAGAACTTTTTTTGTCTTTTCATCATTAACCCTCTGGCTGCTCATCAAGCGATTTCCACAGTCAACTCAAATGTAGCAAAATCTGCTCATCCCGCAGGCATGTGTTTTTCTTCCTTTATTGAGGAGCACATCCCGTTTTTTCCCCATTTAACCATTGAAATAAATTATATACAGTATTAGACGTTAGTTTACGTTTTGGCCAACAGATATTGTTAGTTGTCTACTAAACTGCAGCATTTGAAGGCACGTGATATTACCGCTCAAACTTCACTTTTTGCTGTTTTTTTCTTACAGAAATGGCTGCTAGAAAATGTTCAGCGATTATCTTGATTATTTAATTAAATTACTGAATTATTAAATTTTTTAAGCGATTTTGGTCCACAAATTGAGCAGCCAGAGGGATAACGCTTTGACGTTTACTTTAATTATTAAATATGCCATTTTTGGCACTTATGATACATAAAATTCAATTCAACAGCAAAATTACAAAATATTTAAAATCTTATTTCTAATCATATCTTTAAAATTTTCGATAGACAGTCTCGTGCGCTGGAGATAAAATTGCTTTTTTCCCCATACAGTGTTGCCACTGCTTGCTTTGTAATCTTTGAGTTTGTTAATCAAAAATCCGTTAAAGTTTTACAAATTATAAAATACTAGATAATAAAACAAATTCCAAATTCAATACTCGAACTTCCAGATGCTCATGTTTGGGTGGGGGATTATGTTATTCAAAATTTTATGGCTATATGTACCATTGTAATTTTCACAATTCGAGAAAATGCATACGTTCATGCAGATTCTTCATTATTTAAATTTCTTTACAAATAATACAGGGTGATAATATTTGGTGGCAACAATTTGAAAAGTATACACTGTTTACAGCGATTCAACGCAAATGCCGTTTCAAGATCCCGTTCGTGACTAACATCCCTTTAAGGCTAAAAACTAATCAAGAAAATGGAAAATGTATGTTTAAAACATGTATACTGAAACACAAATAAGGTCGTTAATGAAACAAAAGCAAATTAAATTGTTTCCAGATGGCATTTCAGAGAGCTTTGTAATCAAAATCACTATCTGTAAAACCATAGGTAGATATGACCAATTTTCCTTTAAAAAGCCTCCACGAAGGTTCAAGAAAAATTTTGAAAATGTATGGGAAAAATAAAAAATCTTAATTCTAAAACTTAAAAAACATTTTCCCTCCGTCAATAAGTACATGGTTTGTTTATTTTGCTGCCTACGAACCCGTGCATAAGAGTTCAACACTTGAATTTGGAAATCATCCCTTGCGTCGGAAAGAAAAGCTAACCAGAAAATAGGTAAATGGAAATAAATCATGTAAATTAGCTCATTTTGCTGTCAAAATCGTAAAAAATAACCTTGTATTTAGCGTAGGTATAATGAAACACTCAATCGATTTCGAGGGCAGCTAAAGGTCCCTCCTCATAAGGAGAAAGAAATACATAGAAAGAAGAAAATAGGAGAAGGAGTCACAGAAACACGTGGTCCTTATCAGCACTGCACGTGGTTATAACTAGATTTTTAATCAGAATTGCACTGGCCGCCTACTTTTACTGAGCCAGGCTATCTGATCAAGCATAAAGAAATATTAGTGAAGTTAAAATAGGGAGCGAGGGGCAAATGCACCTTATGCTCAAAATCTGAACTTCAAATAATGGAAAGCAACCACTGAACGGATTTTTATACCCTCTGGTAGTACCAAACGCGAGGAGGTAACGCCATCTATCGGCAAAAATAACTGAATTAAGATAGTAGAATTTTAAAGGCATTAGGAAGGACTGGATTGGACTTCAAATCATTAACTAAACTTGCTAAATCTTTGTGAATGTGAAAAGCCTCAAGAAAATCCAATTCACCTATGGAAGAAGCCTTTTGGATGATTTTTGCAGACCCAAAATCAAAATTATGGTTAAAAGTCCAACTATGATACGCTATTGAAGACTTGTTAATTTCGCCTTTTTTGACATAAGATTCATGTTCCTTGATACGAAACTTCAACGCTCTTTTTGTTTGGCCAATATATCTTAAACCACACTGACACGATATACTATAAATTCCCCAAGAATTCAAGACAGAAACACAATCTTTTAGAATCGAGGGGTGAATTTTATTAATAGGGGAGAAACCGACTCGAAAATTGAATTTCTGGAGAATCTGTGCAATTTTATAGCTAACAGAAGGATAAAATGGAAGCACGACAAGGTCATTAATATTATTTCTAACTGTGGAATGTCTTCTTTGATGGGAATCGAAAATTTTTTAACGGCTTTATCAATAATCACGGGAGAAAATCCATGGTCAATCGCAACTGCTCTCAAATAATTAAGTTCATTGGTAAGCAAAGATTCAGAGGAACAAACTTTAAGCGCACGGAAAACATAATAGTAAAAAGAAGCCATTTTTTGCTTAACAGGGTGGCATGACTTGGCATGGGGTGGTAAACAAACTGCAAAGGGTTTACGGTACACAGTGGTGCTAAAATCGGTTTTATTGCGGATTATAAGAATATCGAGGAAGGGGAGGGAATTGTTGGATTCAATTTCAAGAGTGAATTGGATGGCTGGATCAACTGAATTCATAATAGATAGAATCTCGGATAAATCCTTTTTATAACCGTCAAAAAGTGTGAAAGTGTCGTCAACATACCGAATCCAAAGACGAAAAGATAATTTATCAAATAATTTCATCTCAAAATAGTGCATATAAATGTCAGCAAGTACTGGACTGAGAGGATTACCCATACCCAATCCTTCAACTTGATGAAAATATGCATTTTGGAAAATAAAGTGGGCTTGACTTAGAGAAACTTTAGTAAGCGAAACCAACTCATTAATTTCAGTATGTGTGAAGTGAAATTCCCGAAGCCTAGTTTCAAGACAATTTAGTGCTCCTTCGACCGGAACATTAGTAAACAGTGATTTGATATCAAATGAAACCATAATGGAACGAAGTGGAGAAATATTTTTAAGTTTGTCAATGACTTCAACAGAATTTTTTACAGTGTGAATATTGTTAGCAAGGAGAGGAGAAAATCTGGAAACTAAATATTTGGCCAAAGGATATGAAGCAGTACCTATGTTGGAAACAATTGGTCGAAAAGGAATACCGGTTTTGTGGACTTTTGGAAGAGTATAAAGTCTAGCGCAATTAGTAATAAGTGGAATAAGTGATTTCTTCAACTGAGTTGGCAGAATGTGGGAAGATTTAATAGCACTTTTTACTTTCGTGAGGTCTGAAATTGCTGAGGTCCGAAGTCATTTTGCTGTATCAAAAATAATATTTTAAATCATTATTTGGTTTATTATTCATGTATTTTGTTATATGATTTATTTTATGCACTTTTTAGCTACTTGTAAAACTACACAAAATAAATTGCAGAATTCTGCATAGAGATAAACTAGCATCAGAATAGACACTTTTAAAATATAAGAATACACGAGCATACATAAAAAAGTATATAAATATCAATTTAAAATATTTCTATTATTTTATGATGGAAATTTTGCAGTTTCAGGGAGAATGCAATCAGTCTGACACCACCTCTTCCTGCTGCTAAGTGAAGTAAAAAAGAAAAGGAGGAATCCACCTCATCAGCAAGATCACTATTCTCTTTCATTTTATCCTGTAACATCACAGCTTCTTACTGTGCATTGGTTCTTCCTTATCTTATCAGAAAGTGTAGCTGTGGAAAATGATATTTTTGCCCATTTACCTTGTAAACTTAACAGTTGGTAATAGTGGAACAAAATGAGCGTCAGAAAAAAAGAACACATCGTAATTCATACAGTTATGTTGAAATTTATCATTACGTACCTAAAAATAATGATATTCCATGAAATATCCAATTGATGTAACACATTTTTAGGAGAATGGGGAAAGACAAGTCTAGCATTACCCAAATCAAACATGATCAGATATCCATCATCATCATGATTTACTATCGATGTTACATCATCTGATAGTGAATCTAGTGCTTTGTGTGCATCAAGTAAACAACTGAGTGATTTTCTGTGATACAGCAGACTTTAGCATGTAAGGATTCAAAACAGTTTGTTATGGCTCTGAAGTATCACTTTGAAGAATCTGCACAGCAGTGAAGAAAGACCGGACAAAGTTGTAAATGAACAACAACTGCTTCTCAGGATCGATTTCTGGCAATAACTACTTGTTGGAACAGGATACTGCTTGGCAGTTAAGTTCAGTGCTTGTAGCCTCCATTGGAACTGTTGTATCGTGGCAAACTGTGCTGAAAAGGCTTAAAAATGCCTTTATGCCAGAAAGAAAAGGGTATGTGCTTCACTCTCTTCACATAAAAAGGGAGACCGCTTTATTTGGTGAAAAGAACATCACAATCTGGAAATAATTTTTTTTTTCTTTTATGTGCTATATATCACTCTAGACAAATTCATAAAATTATAAATCTCAGTTTCTGAGAAATCTGTGATTTCATGCATGTAATTTTGAACATAGGTGTATATTCAATATCATTTCATGTCTGTTACAGTCAATGGAGAAAAAAAGACCTCACTGTTTTATTTGTGGCAATGTTCTGTCAAGTGATTCGCTTAAAACCAAGGAAGAAGAAAACAACATTTGCAGAATATTCATCTTCCACACAAGAACAGGGACAAACATTCCTTAGAGTGGCATAGAAATGCTCTTAAAAATGTATTAGATTCAACACAAACATTCTGACAAAAATGCCACAAGCTTACTGAAGCTTTCCAGGTGGTAGCATTGGAGATAGCAAAATATAAAAAACCACATAAAATTGAGAAAACTTTGATTAAACTGTGCACTCTCAAAATGGTGGACATTATGTTGGGAAATGAAATGGAGATAAAATTTGCAGCAGTTTCTCAATCAAACGATACTGTTCAAAGGAGAATCAGTGATATGGCAGTTGATATAATGAATCAAGCTGTGCAGGAGATTTATGTCTGCAGCATTTAGTTTACTTTCAATCCAACTGAAAGAAATGGCTAATGTGGTATTGTGTTTTCAGTTGTTGGTGTTTGCAAGCTATATTTATTAGTTAATTTAAAAAACAATTCCTTTTTTGTCATCCGCCACAGCCTCAAATAATTTTAAAAAAATTTCTTCTTGATTCAGAAAATCTTTCATGGGATAATGTACATGGATGCTACACAAACGGAGCAGGAAATACATAGGGGACAAAATCAGGATTTCAAGGCTAAAGTTTTATTTTAAAAATAAATAAAAATTTAAATAAAATTACGATCCATCATAAAACACTGGCATAAAAAGCACTCCGAGCTCCGCTTGTGTAGATTTTAAATCAAACAATTCAAATTGTGAATTTTAGCAAGGGAGAAGTTCTCGATGCACAACTTTTGAAGCAGCTGTGGGATGTGGCTGACTTGAATGCAGACCACCATTTACTTCTTTTTCATACACATGTGTAATATCTTTCAAAAGGACTGAATGGTGAGGAATAGATCTTGCATCTTGCTTATTTGGCTGATATTTTTAAGCAGTTAGTAAACTGAATCTTCAAATGCAATGGTTTAATTGAATAAAAACTGAATAACAGTACTCAGGCATGTTATTGAACTTTTTATTAATTGAAGTATGTTTTACTTTCGTTGATAAGTACTTAGGTTTTAGTCAATGAATGTAAAAAAAAAAAAAAAAAAAAAAAAAAAAAAAACCTATTATTATTCAAGTTTTGATATTCATCAACATTTTCTAAACTTTATGTAGTTTATAAGTTAATAAAATATCCAAATCTCTCTCTCTCTCTATATATATATCTGTGTGTGTATTTTTCTGAGTTTTGAAAAGGGGGTGGAGGAATGAACTTCTAACAATGGTAAAAGGAGTATATGGAGCAATGTAGGTTGAAAGCCACTTATCCAGACACAGTAATGCACGATTTCTGAGCATTCTCAACATCAAAAAGTGCAAGATCTTTTCAAATGAGAAAGTCAAAAACATCATCAGCTCAGTTCTAAATAGGATATAATTAAACAGTCTATTTCATGTTTTTGAATCATTTACAAAATGAAATGGAAAGGTTTGAATTTAAAAATAAATAAATAAATAAAAGACTCATACAATGATCCGATTCTAAATAAGAAAACTAATATCAAAACTCTTAATTATTTCATCACTTTAGAACAGCTTTTCAAAGACTAAAATGTAATCCTCAACATAAAGTTTTTTAATGAATTTTCCATTCATAATATCTATCTAATAAACACAGGTTTTTGAGTTGAAAGATATAAAGCTTTAAAAATGAATTTCCATTAATAATTTGTATAAAGCAGAAGAATATAAATTTTAATAACCACAAAAATGTAATTATAATTACCCCAGTTTTTAGCAATTCATTATTAATAACGAGCAGTTTCAAAAAATTTTCCATCCATGTTTTTATATTATCCTCAAAAAATTCTGGAATATCCTAGAAAACAAAACAATGGATATTAAACTACTGGATACATTTACTACAAAAATTAATACTGATATGCAACTAAAATTACCATTTTCATCACAGCCCTAAGTACATAAAGAATTATGTGTCTGCTCAAATTTATTTACAATAAATCCAAATATAATTATTAAAAGAAAAAAAAAGTCCCAATCATTTTTTTCACTGAAAAATCTTATGCATGATTAAAATAATACTATTGTGCTTATGCATTTGGAGCAAGGACTGGTAAATGATTCTAACTAACAATTATAGGTACTCTCCGATTATCTACCCCCACCATGACAAAAATCACTAGGCAAAATGCCATGTCACTAAGGTACACTATCCAGAATGTTATGAAAACATCTTTATTTGGCAACCCAGCTAATGGTTGCATGCACATTACACCAGTTTGTAATGCACACAGTTTTGAAATTTAAGGATCATGTTAGAGCCAACAGTAGAATCTTATTGTTAGTCATAATCATATTTGTGGTTTCAGCTTGTTGTAATTAGTATATGGAGTTTTTTCCCTTGTAGCCAGAGGCGGGGCAAGTGAGGGACTTGCCTCAGGTGAATCACTAGAAGGGGCACTGAATTGGCTACAAGAAATTGAAAATTACCTGAATTATGTATTTTAGATTTGTCAATTATTATTAGAGGAAATAAGCTTTGACAAACTTAAATTAATAAAACAATAGGAAGAATTTCAAGAAAACCTGGAAAATAATGCAGTGTTCATTTCAATTGAAAATGCTTTAAGAATTATGGTATATAATTATGCTATAAGATTTATGACATTTTGATTTAACAGTTACTTTTGTTTAATACAAATATAGTTATATATATATATTTTACCTTTTTGCCTCAGGTGAAAAACTATTTTGGAACGGCTCTGCTTGTAGCAAACTGTAATGCTACTATGGAGTCTGATTGCAAATGTAAATAAAGTGCCGCATCCCCCCATAAATATGGCATTTTGCCTGCTAACAAAAAAGTGTAAAAATGCACATTCCACAAAGTTAATTTCTGCAATTCTCTGATGTTATTTTAAGTTAAAATAGGTAGAGGTATACATGAAATGAAGGGCCAGGTTGTTTGTGATGTTGAGAATTCTGAAACTCTCTGGTGCTTTGGTATTGATGTTTGTTATATGTCTGTAATTTTAAATTTTGTTTACTCACTGGTGTTTTATGTAATTTTCAGCGCACCACTATTTTATAAAATGGCTACGGTTTTTCATGTATTAGGTTGGGAAAAAAAAGGTCGCTGACTTTGCAGGAGGGCTGAGCGGATAATCAGAGAGTGGCCAATTTTCATTGTGCTGTCTTTTCTTTTGTCATAACATAAATTCACTAACCACATAAAATAAGTTTCATAACTTTATATCATTATTGATGATATACTATATTAGTAAACAATATAACATATTATAAAAAAACCTTAAAAAAAAAAAAAAAAAAAAAAAAAAAAAAAAAAAAAAAAAAAAAAAAAAAACTAGTATTTTCTAAATTTGCATCTAGCCTACCAATGCCTTTTAAAAGAATTTTGTACAGCATTCATACAACTCTTTACAAATTTAGAAATTAATATGTTAGTTTCTGTTCTACTAAAGCACACATTCAGTAACAAGCTTAATAAGTACAATAAAAATTCAAAATAGCAGTCATTACTCACTTGAAAATTTAAGCTGTAAAAAATTTTTGAAATGAGCACTAAAGAAGTGAACACCAATTTTAATACACTTATATTGGATGAATTGGTCTCTGCTACTTGCATAGTGGCCTGTAAAAAAAAAAAAAAATTACAGAGTTGCATATTATTTGAAGTACAATTTAAGCAAATATTGCTAGACATATGTACACTGCGCAAAAAAGGGGAGGAGGCAGTTCTACAGGGCTGATTGACGAAATTCAACTTCCATTTTTTTTTTGGCTCGAAAGCACGACTTAGGGTATGTATTAGATTTATATATAGCACAGTCCTAACATAGGTTTTTTCTGAAATAACATACCAATTTTTTTCCATATTTTGATCCTATGACTCAAATTACGCCAAACTACCAAGTTTCGTAAAAATCGCACGAGTAGTTTTTAAAAAATTAGCTCTCAAAATTTTAGCTCCTCAATGTATTTTGAGCTTGGTATATATTTATATCTCTCTTTTTTTTATTAAGCTTATGTGATTCTTCCTTTGATATTTCAAAAATTAAGGTTAATTTCAAATAAAACTCACCCATTTTTTTTATTTCAGTGTTTTTTAAAATAATTTTTATAAATTTTTCAATAACAATTTTGAATTATAAACTATAAAAGCTTTACCATCATCTTATAGTAGACGTATTTCTAAGCATAATTGCAAAAACATTGTTTTTTATTCAAAATTCCCGAAGATATACATGAATTTATATATTTGCGCGTTTTGAAATTTGGCATATCTGTTGAAAGCTATAAAACATCAAATGTGGTTTAGACACTGCTAAAATTATTTGGAAGTAGAAACGATGTGACTTTTTTCCTGCTCATGCAGCATGTTAAAAGGTAGGAACGATGTGGCTTTTTTTCTGCTCCAGCATAATTGAAAGGAAAGGAAAATTGGTTGCCACATATTAAGAAGTTCGCCAAGTGAATCATTCTTGTTGCAAACTGAAAAAAAATTGTACCAAAATAAATTTTGGAATTTCTTCGTAAATTTGGCATCAAATTTTACAAAATTTAATATCTAAGCATAATTTGAGTCGTAGAATCGAAATATGGAAAAAAATTAGTATGTTATTTCAGAAAAAGCCCGATTTTGTGTCAAAATACCTATGTTAGAATAATACTATATATAAATCTAATATATATCCTAAGTCACACTTTCAAGACATGAAAAACGCAATTTGAATTTTGTTGATCAGCCCATTCGAACGGAGGATATAGAACTGCTCCCCCCTTTTTTTTTGCGCAGTGTGCATAAAATAAATATAATCGTAAAACTATTACATTGAACTCTCAATTAACCGTGTGTGGTTGTGTCAACACAGGCTAAACATTATGTGTAAAAAACAAACAAGGGCAAGTCTGAGCATGGAAAAATTATTGGAAATTGTGGATTTGGGAAAACAACGAGGAATGTTTCCATGGTGATTCAACTGTCCCGGATTTTCAATATTTGAGTGATGCGAATATTATTTCAAACAAGAACAAAAGAGGCAGAAAGTGAAACTGAAAATACAAATGAAGAAGATACTGACAGCTACATTAGTGCTGAGACCGCAATGACATGCGCTGAAATTTTATTGGACTTCTTCGACTGAAGAGATGCAAATAAAATGATAAAAATATGCAGCGAAATTTGACAAACATGTACATGTTCTAAAAAACAAAGTACTTACTGATTATTTTATGAAATAAACTCGTACCACATACATGAAAATTGATAGTTTGGGTTATCCATATTTTTCAATCACCCATGACTTGCTTCCCTGGATTTCCCTTCCATTTAGTCTGGATAATCAAGAGTATACGACTTGCAATGAAATTTTCTTGTTTAAACACAATGAATTAAGTTTGAGAACTGAATAATTTTATGTACTGACTATAAAATATTGTAAAATAGCTAGAAATATCACAGAAATGACAACATTGAAAATGAAATAAAAGAAATGCGTAGGTAGAACCATTTTTTTGGTTTCAAAGCTTTTGGTCCCAAATGTAAAAAATCATTTGGCAATAAATTCTTCTAGCAGACATGTAATGGCAGTAATAAATTAATAAATTTGAATGTTTTCTTCATGAAATCATATCAGTATGAGTTTGTTTACTGAATGAATTGATGTCCTGGTTCTTGTAAGATGTATAAAATTTGGTATGGTTCTGCAATTAAATTATTTGTGAATGAAAATTTTAATTACAAAGAAATAAAACAATGTTTAGATCATGTGCATGGTGATGATTTGGCCCTTTCCTCTTCTACAGTCAAAAAAACGAATAAAAGAATTTCACATGGGCCAAAAATACACATACAATTTTCATGAAAGTCAGATTTCACGCTTGGAAGGAAACACTGAATGATAGGGGATTGAAATGCTACTCTTTTAACAATTCAAAAATAGCACTGTGTCATTTGCCGTGTGCAGTTTTTACAGTTTTACAGTGCAAATCAAAGCATTTTTTTCTTTTTGCCAATTGCAACTGATTATGAAACAATGGTCCTTCCTATACTAGGAACATTAGCATTTAGGATTAAATTATTTAGGCTTTTAAGGTTCTCTATTAAAGATCTCTCCAATAAGATTCTCTATGGAGTGCAGAAAACTGGGGAAAGCATCACAAAAAAAAAAAAAAAAAAAAAAAAAAAAAAAAAAAAAACATTCAAATACAACCAACAACACACATGAATTAGGAAAAAAAAAAAAAAAAAAAAAAAAAAAAAGAGGCTACCATATTTTAGATTAAAAAAAGGGGGGGGGGAAGAAAAACAACTATTTATGGGGAATATTATGCCAGCTTTTGTATAAATTGAACAAAGAAATTAAAGTTAAAAGACATCAAATGCTCAGAAATGGAGTTCATGTTCTCCTTGATAATCAGCTCTCATTGCTAAAGAAAATGTAAAAAAAAAAAAAAAAAAAAAAAAAAAAAGAAGTGTGGGTTTAAGAAACTCGATTTCTCTTTATCCCTTACAACCCAGATTTATCTCCAAGTAATTATTTCCTGTTCTCCAAACTGAAATCTGACCTTCAGTAAAAGAGATTTCATGATCATGCAGGCATGAAATGAGCAATTATGGAAAATTTTTGAGGACACATTTTCAGATTGCTTTTTCAGGAGCAGAGTTATTGAATGATATGAAAAGTGTATGCAAGGTGAGTGTACTGCAAAAGCAAACTCATAATTTTCGGTATTTCTTTTAGAAATATATCTGGCCAGAATCTACTTATTTACATACAAGAAACATGCACTTAAATCATTCAAACAAATAGGCAGGGTTTTTTTTATTAAGAGCAAACATTAAATATTGCAATTCATTTTACAAAAAGGAGTTCAGACTAATACATCATTTAAATAATAATATTTACTCTAGAGTTTTTAGAAATGTAACTAAAAAGCTAAAAATAACCAAAAACTTAAAAATAATAATGAAAATTTGGCGAAACTCAGTTTAGCTAGTTTTCTGCTGTGATTCGAAGTGTGTTGTTAATCTGTGTAGGATTTGTGTTGTAGTAATGTTTCAGTTTTAGTTTATTGGCAAGCAGCTGTTATTGTAAACTAATGAGGAGTCGCAAAGTTTAATTTGCTTCAATTTTTTGTAAAAATTACTCGCAAGTAAAATTTATGTTAGAACAACATATGACAGCACAATATAAAGACTTCTAAATTGCACTATTTATTTTTTAAGGGCATTTACACTTTTAAAGAATTAAGTGACAAGACAATTATATTTCTAATGAAAACAATGAGTAATAATTCACTTGCAGTCAAAGAGGAAAATTATGAGTTAAAAAAATTATTGTTCAAGAAAAAGATTACTATAACACTCTTTTCTTTTTAAATTGGCTACATTTTGGGAGAGGGGGTTATTAAAAACATTAGGTTTCTATTATTTCAGAAGACTAACCTTTAGTTTCCCTGCTTTTCTGCATTAGAAAGAGATTTAATCTGACAACTTAAAACTTTCAAATGATAGCATAAAAATGCTTTAAAATTCAGTAAGGCTTAGTTGAGATCATGGTTTTGTCATCATAAAGCTTTGCGATTTAAGGAATAAAAGTCCATTCACACCTATTTAACCCTTTCAGGATGGCGTGCCTTTGTTAAAGACATTTCCTCGGGATGGATGGGAGTCGAAAGGAATCACCCACAGGATGGAGATTTTGTGTTGTTCTAGCCTAATTTTGGAAAAAATATTAATTAAAAAAAAAAGAGGTTTAAGTCATGACATCAGAATTTTTGGTACTATTTTAAATTATTACTTAAGCTATCAGATATGTTAAAATTAGCAGTTACTAATCTTTTTCTTCTGCTTTATGCGAAAATATATACAAAAAATTGCTTGCTTTGAGAAATAATTTTCAAAAGAGCTATTTAAATTATTCCGTAAGTTTTAATTGACAAAACACATTAATACAATTCAAAAGTAATTAAAAAATTTACAAAAGAGACTATTTACAAGAAGAAGTACCAAAATCTTTCACAGAAAGTGGAAGACAGGCACTCAGTGAGCTCAGTCTTTGACAAAATGTTCGTATTAGAATCACTACAAATATCGCTCTCTAACTCTTAGAAAATGAATCATTACTCTCATCCATGACACTAACTGGCTCATTTATCATGCAAGTTTATCCTTCTTCTGATAAATAATGTTTACGTGCCATAATAAACTAAATAGAGGTTTTCCGAAATAATAACGCATGTACACAAAATATAAGAGATAAAACCAACACAAAGCGTAACAGAACCCCATATAGTAACCCTAAAAGACCCTACATAGTAGGGGGGAGGGAAAGAGAGAGATGAAACCAAACGATTATGCAGAATTTGACCAAACTGAATGTCAGGATCCTAAAACTAATTCATGATTATGCAGAATTTGACCAAACTGAATGTCAGGATCCTAAAACTAATTCATTTCAAAAGTAATGGATAATGGACACAGGATGCCATCAAGTGGTTAAACATCTTCAACACTTTGACATTGTAAGGGTTAAAACAGAAACATTTCATATCTACAAGACTGCAAACCCAAATAATAAACGCTCTAGCGAAAATAAAACTCTCCTATTGACTATAAACAGATATCATATGTTCATTTAAACAGCTGTCATAAAGTAGGCCATTTCAAAACATATGTTTATATAACCAAAATCCATGACCATATCAGTCATGTTTTTCTCATTTAAAGTAGAAGGTCAAATCTACAAGTCAAATCTTTTGGACATGAAATGCCATCTTGTGGCAAAAGTTATAGTTTTTAAAATTTTCCGTGTCACTGCCCCAAATGTTTGGTTACCGGGGGTGAGCGAGAAAATGTTCTGGTATGCCAGTGGCCGATCGGAAAATGAATGAAATTCTTGCTAGCATTCTGCGTGACATTCAGCACGAAAGGGGTAAATATAGTTCCATAGCCAATCACGGAAGAGAACATTGTGCATGCGTATAGCTGACTCAGTGAAACCATCGATCTATGCTTGTTTCGCTGTGATTGGTGGCTCTTATAGCAATTTGGAATAACACTGAAAAGATAGAAATTTTAAGCAAAATCCTTAAACCAGTTTTTGTGGCATAGCATCATTACTGAATTTTTTTTTTAAGTCTAGTAGCTTAGCAACAAAACTTAGCTTAAACATCTTATGACTTTAAAACCACCATGTGAATGAATAAAAGTATAACATATCTACTGCGGATTTCATTCTTTTGTTCAACAAGTGAACAAAGATTTATAATAAAACATATCTACCATTTCGGACTTATTAAACAAAATAACAACTACTTTTGTTTTAAACTAAATGATTCAAAGTATTCTTTTGCACTGGTGGATTAGCCAGAACTTGATGCTATGATAGCCACAAAAATAGCAATAAATTACTAATAAATATCTGCCTCCCTAAATGCAACTGCATTCTTAGTTTTCAGCATGTAGCATAATCCCAATGTTACTGTACTAGGGTTTCTCTAAACCCTTTTCACAGGTCATTAATACTAAAATGTAGCCAGGAAATAATTATTTTTAAAAGTGGATGCACTTATAGGGGTTTCACCCCTTCAATGTTCATCAGCATGCATTATTTTAAATTAAAGAATTTATCTGCCTCCTATTTTACTTTTAAGATTCATTTCTAATCAAGAGTAATAAAATATTAAGATTTAAAACATCTTAAGGAATTTAAGACATTTAAATTAAAAATTTAAAACATTTTTACAACAGAAAACAGAAACAATTAAGCCCTGCTAAGATATTTAAGATCCTTAATTTCAAAATATTTTAAGTTATAAAAAAAATTTTTACTTATAGAATTTTAAACATTGAAATACTAACTTAAAAAAAAAAAATTCAGTAATGATGCAGTCAACTGCTTTAAATAAAAATTTAATTTTATTTAATTTCAAAGAGATGCTCTAAGGTATAATCCATCTAACCTATAATCCAGCAAGAAGTCATACTTGGCTCAATTATCATGAGTGATGAATGGCCTTCTGTGAGGGGCTGAGCCAATTAGGATACAATCATTGAATAGTAAACCACCAAAAGAACTTTGTCACTCCTGTAGACAGAACTAATACTCAAACAATCAAATCGTGCTGGGGATTTTGAAGATTCTGCACGACATGAAGTACCCATTGCACATGCTATTACATTATACGGCAGAAGCATGGGTGAGATCTGTTTGTAAAAGTGATGATTATTTTTGCCACTCTGCATGAAATTCATAATGTAAGCGACTGAATATCATAAAAATGGTTGTTCAATACTAGAATTATGGAAGTGGTTATTTTGACTGCAAATGAAATTAAATTTTTTGCATTTTTTAAACTTTTCTTTTTAAATATTTTAATATTTTAAAAACTTTTCCTAAATATATAATTTAAATACTATTATTATGACAAATTAATTTATTTAGCCCCTTTTAAATAACTAATTTTTAAATATATATATACCTATAATTATGGCTAGCAGTCATTTTGACTGTTTAGCAGAAGTTTAATGTGGCTGGATGGCATTTGTTAGAGTTTTCATTTATTTTCAAGCTAGATGCTATTACACAGCTAACTGGAATGGAAGTGAAGCTCTCCCCTTCCAAAGTGGTAATGTCCCACACAGTTTTCATGTTTCTTGCTTGTCTGAATGTTTCAATAAGTTGTTCACCTAGTTCTGTGTCATACAGTGCTCTTCAGAGTGGATTGTTCTAACTACAACAAAAGAATCCAATTCATCAAATGATGGTACCATTATTCCTTCAAAAGGAAAGTATTATAACCCTTCACAATTATTTTATACTTTAAAACAGCATTTTCGTGTCACCATCTAAGAAATAAATAGCTAACTAAACATGGTAGATATTACATCAAGTCGTTTTTTCCTGTTGTATTACATCAATATCATATTTTATTTAACCCTTTCATATTTGCACTCGTGAATATAACAGATTCAAGTCTACAGTATAGTCAGTACCTTAGAAACAGTATATACTGAAAAATGAAATATTAAACTTATACATCTGATGTTGCAATCTTATTAGAAAAATCAAATAACAGTACTAGTTTGTAAGTGAATTTTAACTACATTTTACATCAAAATTTCACGATATTAAATTTCTTCAATGAAAAAATGAAATACTTGATAGTTTTCAGAAAAATTAAATTATTCGTAAGTTAAATTACATATACCTGTACTTTATTGCTTGGAAAAAATATGCACAAATAAAACCATAAAATAATGCAAAATTCTTAAACCTAAAAGTCAAAGCAATATGTAATTGGATATTTCTTCAGATATATTTTACTTACATTAAATAAATCTGTCAGTGGTTGAGCAAAATTATCAAGTACAAATTTTATTTCAAGCCAGAGAGTCTGTGATTTAAATTCATATCGATACCTAGAAAGGAATAAGTCTATTTTTAAAAATGAAATATTATAAGGTGACCATACTTTTCTTAAAGTACTACTTTATAAAAGAAAAAATACAACAGATAATTAAAAAAAAAAAAAATTAGGTACTTGCATATCACTATAAATATAGTAAGTGTTACCAAATTTTTAAAATGTGCCAAACTCAGGCAACCATGTACATAAGTTGTTCAAACAAAGCATGTTCATAATAATCCTTCATTCAAGCAATGCCACCATTTCCATATGCAAACCGTTTTTTATATTCCAATTTATAACAGTTTTTAGAGACAAACTCAATTTTAAAAATACAGTTAAACCCTGCTGTTATGAACTTCAAAGAACCACAAGTTTGGTTCTCTATATCTGGTCTGATTAGAAAACACATTATCTCACAAAAACCAGTAAAAAATTGGATGAATAAAGAAAAAAAAAAAACTTAATTTTTACATCTACCAACAGAAGTGAATGACAAATTTAATTTAAAGTCATATTAATATTTTATTGCAATTATTGTTACAGGCAATTATTAAATTTGGTGTCCGTTCTTTTTTGGTCTCTTCAGAGTGTCTGGTAAATTCATCAGCATTTTGCCTGAAATTTTTTTCTTTTTTTCTTTCTTCAGCAATGCTTCTCCAACATCTCTATGCTCCAACTTTCTCAACATTTTCCTCATATCCACAGTATTCAAGCAGAACTTTAGAGCTTAGGTCTTTTCATATAGTACCAACTGTAGATTAGAATAGATAGATATCAATTCGTCTGCATACATTTTGTATTTTTGGAATAATATTCACCTTATTTCCAAAGCAGAAGTTTCTGGTTTACAACTCACCATGCAATTACTTACATTTTTGACACAGAAACAGAGTGAAGAGAGTTTGGTCAAAGAGAGCGCGAGTTTTGCTCTTCTGAAAAATATAAAAGAGGAAGATAAATTCACCACCTATATGTCTTATCCAATGTTCAGTGAGAACACAATCATTTTCACCATGATATATATGGTTTCAATATGAAGATAACAATAGCCTCCATGTATAATATCTCATGTCTTCCAAAGAAACCAAAGAATGTAAAACCTTATTTGGAGGATAGACCCTGGACAGTAGTTAGTTATACTCAAACAAAACAAACCGATAAGGATCCCTACTTTTCATTTCCTGAGAGAAGAATCAACTGTAAGCCCATAAGATTCAATATTTCCTCTTCCCCTGAATAGCAAAAATTTCTGCCATAGCTTCAGCTTTGCACAGAACTCTGTCTGTCAGCTCATTAAAAGAATTTCAATGGAATCAGAGAATCTATTCATGTTTTCTTTTTTAATGGTCATGTGCTTTTGTATCCTTTTTCCTGTCATAGCTGTTTAGCACAGCCTTTGTTTAGAACACAAAGAAAAGTGGAGGTGAAAATAAATGAAACAAAAAGTAAAGGTGATTTCCTTTATGCATGGAATGTGGATTCTAATATCCTAAACGTGGACAATTTTATCAGTTAGTAATTTTTTCATTAAAACTTGCAGAAATTCTGGAAAAAATACGAAATATACCCAAAAAGTTTAAATTGAAGATATTCATAGTTCATTATTATATCTAATTTTCATAATATTGGAGGGTCACTATATAAGTATAAAGCAACATTTAGCAAGACAGGAAACTGGATGCGACGAAATGGTTTGTTCATTATAGCTAGAGGTTTGTTATAGGTCTAGTCTGTTATAACACGGTTTGATCATATGTGGTTGTGGAATTTGCCAGCAATATAAAATAAATTAAGTAAGGTTTTTGCAGGAGCATAGTATTTTGCTGCAATATTGCTAAAGGAAATAATGATGAAATGAGCTAGGTAGACATTTTGTGTGCAGTTCTCTGGTTTTTTTTTTTTTTTTTTCAAGTGAAAACAGATCTATATGCACGGTGAGAATAGTGTAGTGGGGGGGGGAAGAAGGATTTTGGGAAAAAAGTACTTTTTTTAATGTATCACATAATCCTCATTTAATATTAAAGTTTGTAATTTAAATTGCTAAAGTATGTTTTCTTTTGATATGTTGATAATGTCTGCCTACCTATAATATTTATTAATAGCTGCCAGTCTTAAAAAAAAAAAAAAAAAAAAAAAAAAAAAAAACCCTAATAAGTAACTTTTTCACCTGCAAAATGCAAAATCGCCAAAATGCATTAAACAGGCTGTGTTAATATGTCAGTACTTTTTTTTTAACAAACATTTCAAAATATGCTTCTATTCATTGCTTTCAGGATGCTAATCCTACATGTGCCTCTTTTTAATGTCTACATGTGCCAGATACAACATCCCCAGCTTGGACATCTTACCCTGTAATTTAGCCAAACTAATTTATTTTTAAGAAGATTTATGGTGAATGTCTTAAAAACCAATATGTTTCGGTTATACACAATCTGAATCTAATACACAATAATTTTAATGTCTACAAACCCCCTGCTGCAGATTTTATAGCAGAATTCAAAATTAGCAAGCTGGAGAGATCTATTGAGATTCACAGGTAATGTTTCTCGCATTGCATTAAACAGTATAAGTTTCCTGCACTTTTTTTTTAAAAAAACAGACAGCAGGGTTGATGCACAATGCTTCCAGCTTGAAAGTGATATAACTACAATTCAGCTGACAGTCAAGCTTAAAATTTTTGTTAGATTCAAACCCTGATGCAATTATAAATGACCTAGTCTTCTATGATCACACTGCTTTATTTTTTTTTTTAAATTTATTTCCAGTATTTATTTATTTATCTTCTAGCACTTTCTGATCATCATGTAGCAGGTACTGGAAATGCTTATAATAGTGTTATCACATATGCCAGGGGGGGAGGAGGGGATTTTTAGAATGAATGAATAATGTACAGAATTTTTGTTGTTAGAAATTTTGGTACTCTTCTGTTATCAGGAGCAGATTCAAAGAACTGTATACATATATATATATTCATGTATGCATATGTATGTGTGTGTATGTACACAAATATATGCACATACATACATATACACATGCCATATATGTGTACATTTCTGAAGCTGATCCCAATAACAAAAGAGTACCGAAATTTTCTCTTTTGAATTTTTAAATGAGGTAAAAAATTATGGACACAGTAATTTAAAAATATACATACCTCTTGAATAAGGAATGTGCTGTATGTAGCACACCATTGATGGCATGAAAATCACCACTCTGAAAATGTGAAACCAGTTCCTGTAATAAATTTGGCCACTTTTCGGGAAAATCTTCTCTGCCAATAATACTAACAGCATCACTGAGCTAAAAACATTAAAATTTTATTATTTGTACACGCACTGGAAACTTATCAATCAATAAACAATCTTAAAATAAATTGTTCATCCAAAATGAAGATTTAAGAATTTATGTAAGAAATATCTTCTCTTGCATAAAATAATTTTTGCCAAAACTAAGAATATGACCAAAGGTCTGAGTCAAAGAGGCAACAAAATAGCTGTTTGAATGTTTTAATATACTATTGTGTACCTTGAAAATTTGTGAGAAAAACTGAAAGATGTAGTTATGTATTAAGTTTTATTTTATATGAATTAATTACTCGTAAGTATAATTTACAAACATTTTAATACAAAATTGTAACTAGAAGGTTTCATATTTTAATTCTTTAATTTGAATCAATCAGTAATACAAATAAATATGCTAGATAATTTAAAATGTTAAACCATATAATTATTTACATACCATGGCATGCAATATATGCTATTAAGAATATTTTTTATTAAATATAATAATGATCCAAATGCTCATAAAAATTATCATTTGACTATGCTAAACGTTATATCAATTAGATATATCATTTAAAATTAAATAGGATGAATGACTGACATTTATTACTTTTAAATCACTTTAACTGCAGTTAAAATTTGAAATAAATCTCAGAGTGCCTGCCACGAGGCATGAGAGCATTCTGAGAACAGGCTATTTATGAGGCTGCATGACAGATAAAAATCTTACATCCACTGTGATGGCAACATATGCCAAGCCATATAAATACTCTGATAGCATAATGTAATAGCTAAAACAAAATAAGAAAGGCTTGTTATAATATCTTTGATGTCAAAAATAACTAGATCTTAACATTAAATTTAAATAAAACATAAAAATTTATTATACAAATAAATAAATTAAATATGATTTAGAAAAAAAACGATAAGTAGAACAATTAATAATGTAATCAGAACAAAAAAATTATTAATTAGGACATAGTTTGTTAAATGGAAGTTGTTTGCTTAATTATTTTTAAATTTATTGTCTCTGTACTTTACAAGTAAAACTGCATTTTAAAATATCACACAATGTCATTTTTGATAAATTATTAATTTCCCTGTTTATAAATTAATAAAAATTTTATAATCAATATAAATGTAAATCAGTCTAAATGGTATATGCATGTTTATGACCATGGTTGCATCGTTCATGATCAAATAATACATATGAAATTATTAAATGATATTTCCTAGAAATCAAATCTAAAATAATTCTGCACATTAAATAGTTCTGGTTAAAAACTATAAAATAAAACAGCCTCAGTAAAAATCTATCACATACCTGCCGCTGGATCTGCTCAGAGCTTCTGAGCATCAATCCAACTATAAGCTGCTTGACAGCTCCTCGATCTACATCATGTATTTTATTCACACTATCTTCCGCCTGAGGAAAAAAAGATGTATTTTGAATTTCAACACACATCATAATAATACCCACAATAAATTAACAACTGAAGAAAAAATAAAGAGCGTCCAAAAAATAGAAAGCAATAAGAAAGAGAAAAACATTTAAATGTTCTCTAAATACCTCTGATGCTTACAGGGTTCGCATACATTTCTGCACAAGGATATTAAGTACTTTTAAGGACCATTAATGAAAAAAATTAAGGACCTACGAGCAAATGGGAATTGAATAAATTCAATTAAAAATATTATATCTATGCCTGAATGTGAGTAGGATGCATTATTATTAAACATAACTTAATTAATGTTTGAGAATAAAATTAATTTTATGAAATTTATCAAGTAGCATTAAATATTTTACACTCATAATAACTGGACATATTTGAAAGAAGATAAAAGACATTTTAGTTATGTTTTACTAACAGTTAACTTTTTTTTTAATGTCTCATTTTGTCACATTACTTGCTCAGTCTAGAGGTTTAGTAAATAGTAAGTAGATTTTACGTCAAGCAGCATAGGTTAAAATGAGCATTAAAATCATAATCAGCATGATTCAAAACAAAAGACTGGCTGTTGTCACCACTCCTGCTTGCTTATAGAGAGACCCGCTGATCAGAAAACAAACCTGAAAGGCCTGATGTAGGCACAGTTAGCAAGTTTTGAAAGTTAGCTGACCTCTGTCTGATGCTGTTAGTGTCGTAGCTTCGTGTAGAGTTTAAGGGGTTGTAACTCAGTTAATAAAGGTTCTATTAAGCCACTAAAGCATTCGCGGTGATAAGTTGTTTTGCATTAAGTCTCACTAGATGCAAAGAATAAGTTTCAAATTAACTTTTATATTTTACCTTGTGACCATGGTAAAGGTTTAACACGTTGAGCCCTGCGGCGAATTTGCTGTCCTTTCTGTTTAGCCGGCGGCAATATTGCAATCAAGCGGTGCAATATTGCTGACTTAAATTATTCATAAACCAGTGAAAGGCCAATAAAGAAAGTCCAGCTGCAACAAGGTTCAGTGCTAGCAGGAAAGCGAAAAATTGAAACGAGTGGCACCACAGATGGGTCCGGATACAACAAAGAAAGCCTTGGCAGATAGTCATTGTTATCCATCGACAACCACCCCAAGGAAGGTCGGAAGAGATCAGGACGAAGAATTATCATGGGCAGAATAGTCAATGTGGATACCACGTCGTTCCAGCAATCAAGGAAGTACAAAATTAAATTTAAAGACCCACAGGAAACCAAAGAAGGGTCAAGTACCAGAATTTACAATCCATGAGGAAGTCAGCCCGATTCATCGCCATAGGAAAGAAAAGGAAAGAATTTCCTGCAGAAAATACCAGGCGCCCGAGGAGAAAAATTAAAGTGCAGAACCTAAGATGTCCCACCTGGGAAAAATTCTGACAGAAAAGAATGAAGGATTATAAAAAGCAAAAATATAAGTGAAAATTTTCTTTGCTTGCTTATTTAGAATTCAATTTATATCATGTTGTTCAAAGTTGCTTTTCTCAAATGAGAACAAGTTAAATGCTGTTAAAAGCAAGAATTTTGAATTCGCAAGTTTGCGAGAAAGTATATTGTAAATATCTTTTAGTCGGAAAGACTTGAAATTAGGATGAAAATTGTTGTAAACTTGAACTTAAAATTAAATTTTAGGAAAAGATTGTAAATTAGGTATAGCAACTGTGTAACATGTGATGTAAAATGAATTTAAAATTTTATATTAAAGGTGTAAAAATGTTTGTGCTGAAAGTAAAATTTTAAATGTTGATTGCAAAAGTGCTTTAGTTGTTTAAACGAACAATTGGAGAGAAAGTATAGAATGAATGTATGTTAAAGTTAGGCTCTCCAGCTAACACTTAAAAGTTTAAATCACGCTGTCATTAGCACATTAGGTGCAGTTTTGTAAATAGGGAATCCTTGAGGTCTCGTGTGTCAAAATCTAATAACTCGTGGAGTGTGGTTAGTTGTTCGTGGTAACACAGGACACACTCATGTCATAAATTTCTGGAGAGCATGGGGGGATGAGTTAAAATGTGTATGAATGAAATCTGTTTGAGGGCCAAATAATGCAATAAAATGTAATTGGAAATATTTCTTAGAAAGAGTGTAATAATGCTTTTTCTTCCCAGATATTTTGGAAGGATCAAAGTATGTATCATAGCGACATCAAAATGTATGTACTGAGGAAGAAGCTCTGTAAAAATAATTTTATTTATCTTAACTTTAGATCATTCGTAAAGTTCGTCCGAAAGGAAAGTTAAAAGTTTTGTCAATAATGAAACTGAATTAAGAATTCAAGAGTGTAGGGTTTATATTTATTTTAAGTTTAAACTATCTTTCCTGTCAAGCCTTACTTTCCCCTGGAATTGCCAATGCCAGAGTATGTAAATTTTAGTACAACGCACAAAGTATTCAAAATAGTCAGCGGAAGTATTCTGAGTTAAATAGAAGGGAAACGAGTTCGAAATTGTGCTTTCTTGCTTCACAAGCGTGGAGGTGGCTAGGTAGAAATTGAAGAACCACGCGTTTCGGCCTGTGTGCTTGCCTCGGCACATAGTTAAATCTTTCAACGTAATATTCAGAAGTTTGCTGAATTATCAGTGGTATCTTAGAATGCGGTTAGGTTAGTTACGTTAGACAGCCTCGTAGGTAGTCACTTGTTATTATTCATTTTTAGTTTCTTATTTTTATTTTACCGCCGGGTCGGCGTAGTTTGTGAGCGTCAAGAGCACACATCTGTAATTTCTAAAGTTGAATAAAAAGGGATTTAAACCCTTCTCAAGACTTTGTGTACTTTCCAGTTCATAGCAATCACCACTATTGTTGCGTGCAGGTTGGGGCCGCGCAACATTACATTGGCGCCCGAACACTTGTCGAACTGAAATGGCCGAAAACTGGATGGAAGCTGCTGGACAACAACAAGAAACGGCAAGCCAATTGGAAGGATTTGGATACCTGGTCCAGACAATGAGAGCGTCAATCAAGCCAAACGTCAATTTCGACGGAAAAAATTCGGTGGCGATATTTCTAGAAGGCCTCGAAAATAACTTCCAGCTCTACCCTGTGCCTGAAAGAAAAAAAGTTGCCATTGCCACATCTGCACTAAGAGGACAGGCCTCGCTATGGTGGAAGAATATAGACAAATTTTTATTAGGGGAATTCGGAGGCCAGATATATACTTTTGAAAATTTCAAAAAATCGTTATTAAAGGCCTTCCCCATGGTGAAAGATCGAGCAAAGCTAGAAGCTGAACTGTATAGTTTTTATCAACGGGATATAGAAGAGTTGACGTACTTTATTCTGCGAAAAATTAAACTGACGGATATGCTGTATGGGAAGAAACCCGATGCGGAGATTAGTGAAATAATCTTGCCAAGATTGCTACCTGCTGTTCAAGATTACTTCGAAATTAGAAACCCAAGCACATTGCAGGAACTCTTCGAATTGGCGGTCAAGTTCCAAAATCGCAGAATAGCGGAAAAAAGCTAGAGGGGGCATCGTATTCTCAAGGTCTCCGAAGGCAATTTGTGTTTAAGGTCTGTTTCAAATGAAGCAGACCAGAAATGTACAAACCGCTCTTATGTGGGAAAGAGCTATCAAGCTAACTCATCAAAGCTCGAAGGTCAAGGCCCAAAAAGGAAATTTGAAAACAACCATCCCCGTACCCAGAAGGCAGAAGTTGAAAGGAAAGCTTTAAACGAGTAGAGGGGCCTGTGAAAGTGAGGGTCCAGACCCCGGAAAATCCTCAAGAAGATACTTAAATACGGTCGTCGTAAAAAACTCACAATTGCCAATTATACAAGCCCTGGTTGGCGATGTACCAGTAGAAGCCCTCATCGATACAGGAGCAGAAGGTAATTTTATGAGTGATATTTTTTTTAAGAATAATTTTAATAGGTTACGATTATTTAAAAATAAAAACACAGAAATCATAGCAGCGCAAGGACAAACTTGTCAATGTATTGGAAAATTATCTTTAAAAATACAGGTTCAAAACGAAAGCCTTAAAGTATTAATTTTTGTAGTACAAAACTTGCAAAGTCCACTTATTTAGGTATGGAGTTTTTTAAAAGCCGCGAAGGCCAAACTGAATTTTCAGGAAAGTTCTATTGTGCTGGAGATGGATCGGAGGGTGGTGGAACCAGTGGAACAACCGCAAGTCGACCTTAGCCATTTGAATGACCATGAAAGCCAAGCCATCCAGCAAGTGGTGAGTACTTTTTCAAACTTGTTTTCAGAACGGCCTGGTAGTTGTCAAATTATTACGCATGATATTCAGTTAATTGCCGACAAACCCTGTAGGACTAAACCTTACCGCTATGATAAACAGAAAGAACAAATCATCGAAGAACATATTCAGGAAATGTTAAAGAACCAGATAATAACGCCCATAAATAGTGAGTACGCGAGTCCAGTCGTACTATGTAGGAAAAAGAACGAGGGCTTGGAGGTTTGCTATCGATTACAGGAAACTTAATAGTGTTACTAAATTTCCAGTTTACCCTTTGGCGGTTATAGAGGAAATTATAAGAAAGATTAAGACTACGAGATACATGACTAAGTTGGACTTAACGTCTGGCTACTATCAAATAGCTATGAGACCCGAAGACATACATAAAACTGCGTTTATAACAAAATCTGGCACTTATGCATTTTTATGCATGCCCTTTGGGTTGTGTGGGGCCCCGTCAACATTCCAGAGAGCTACGGACATTGTTCTAAAGCCTGTCCTAGGAAAATCGACTTTAATCTATCTAGATGATATAATTATAACGAGTAGTACGTTGGAACAACATATTAAAGACCTAGAAGAAGTTTTCAAATTATTAAAAGAGGCCGGTCTTACAATTAACGCCTCAAAATACAAGTTCGCAACTAAAGAACTTAAATATCTCAGTTATAAAATTTCGCAAAAGGGTTCAAAAATAAAAGCCATCAAGAATTTCCCACCTCCCAACACCGCCAAGAAACTTTCTTCTTTCC